GATGCATAAGGCGTCGATCCATAGGTATTCGATGCCCAGTTTGCGACAAATCTCTATGGCGTCTTGGGCGGTTTTCGGTAGTTTCGACCAGTTAATGTTCTTGGTGAGGGATTCAAGGTTCGTTACCTCCAAGATGAAGCTCTCATCAAAACTTCCCCAGCGATGGGACAAGGTGGCATACCGAGCTTTTTCGTCTTCTCGGCTAAGGTGCAGGTGGACTTGGTCTTGGTGAAGCCTCAGGACGCGTTTTGGCAAACTGGGAGGCTCAGGCGCCGCACATTGATGAAGATTGTTGCACTCGTCTAACCACTGCCTCAGAAACCGATAACTTTCAGCAGAATCCGTCTTGTCGATCGGCGCGCATTTCAGCTTCCGGAGAGCCACACATGATTTTGACTCGGGCGCTTCTGCAGGGACGAATAAGTTGAAATGTCGCCAGCCCCGGGAATCAGAGCCGTAAGAATTGCCTGTTCTGATTACCACTCGTCCAGGCCGTTCTCCGGTGCGCATCAACTCGATGGAGATACTCTGCTCGGCTGTCGACGCATCATTGCTTTGATCCACGGTTTCCCGCCAGACTCTCTTCACCGGCTCAACGGAGAGGGCATTATAGATCGCAGAGCATGTAGTGCATCCCCTTTCAGCATTCTCGCGAAATTCGAAGAGCTTGAAGTTGTCGCCTGGTTGGCGTGAGTACTGCTTTTGAGGGCATGTTTCAGCGTCACAGTCCTGGTGAAGAGAACGACAGGTGCACGCTAAAGGGATAGGAGAATTCATTTGTCAGGTTTAACTAAGAGGCTAAGTCTTGACTTACAAGTGGCACGACTTTGGCGTCTTTGAAGTTCTTTTGAGTCCCCCGTGGCTCATTAGAATGGAAAGCATTTCGAACCGATGGCCTTGAAAATGCCACTGCCACGTTTTAAGAGTCACAGAAATGGCGCAGCGACCAACCGAGCTAAACCCCTTGACTTCAGCCCCCAAAATCTAGTCCTTGTACTACTTACTCTGGGCCGGGCCCCTTTGCGGGCCGAAAGCGGTTCGCACCTTGGGGTGTTTTGAATGCTCGGAAGGGTCCAATTCCGCATGTCTTTACTGGGGGATCGTTCACTAGAGGTGTGCTATATGGTACTCGGATCAGCTGGTGCCTGGAGGCTGTCATCTCGACTCAACGAAGTGAGACACCACTAGGGGCCCTTCGGGGGATATTCTAGGCGTGATGCAAGGGATAGGTAGAGAAGAGGGATCTTAAACGAGCTTCTCCGGATAGAAGAAGCCAAGCCCGGAAAATAGGTTCTTGCATCCCTAGTGCAGATGATAGATATTGAGCAATTGAGCAATAAGATTAGCACACATAGCTCACGAAGGTATATCGAGTCCGCAACCCTAGAAGCTAGGTTAGCCAGTCACCGGGACAATTTCGCCAGCATTAGTCATCATCGCCAGGTAGATGTCCTCCTTCCTTAGTCAATCAATCAACATTCTGACCTTAGCTCTAACAGGCCACGAACACCTCATTACTTCCGTAATTCTCTCTGTAGACGAGGCTAACACTTTCCTCTGGGGAATACCCTCGTCGTCGCCGCTCTGGTAGGGTTGATAGCAGGAGCGACTGCGGAACGGAACACTGCGAATCAAACCTATCAGAGATTGAGAGGATTGAACTTGTGGATTGTTTATCTACAAGAGCAAGAGGTACGAGGTAGACTATCTATACCCCCAGAGGACTCAGATGTGGCCACGAAAACAAAATGTTGGGCATGCCTTTCTAACAAACCAACCAACGGCAACCCTATCCGGCGTAATAGATAGATTGCCAGAAGACTCACCTTTAACTAGAATGGCTGCAGACGATCTTACACATACGAGGCTACGATTCCTGCTTCCTGTATATCCATCTATCCACCCGATCTGAATATTTCGCACCAATCGATACAGGAAAAGGTGGAAGAAAACCCGGAGAGGGTGGCAAAATAGCCACAAGCATCGCTAGCTATCACAGACCAAGGCAAGTTGCAGGGAAATTTCCCACCAAATTCGACGGCTCTCAACATCGCAGTACGGATGTGTATAGTTTCAAGACCCCCCCATTTTCTACTTATGACGCTGTAGATGTGGCTACAAGAAAGGACAAGTAGGGAATCAGCTACAAGAGAAGCCGGAGAATTGTTGTATGCATATCCCCAATTTTAGGCGCACTCATTGGGGTTCTCATTCGCTCTTAACGACGTTTGGTTCCCGTACCTTTCACCCCCGATGACCTGTTCATTCCGTCTGCATACTGAGTAAAGACGAACTGCTGCATTACTTTGCAAGACCTAAGGGCCGCCGATGTACCGAATAAAGCGTATGAGGCGGTAACCTGCGGGATTTTCCAGCCGCGAGTTGCCCTCCCCATCAAATGTCTCACCTGCAGCACGCAAACAAGAATCGACGAGAGGGCAACCCTACACCAGAAGCGAACATTGGTCACGGTCACATAGCCAACAACCGAACGAGTTTTCCTAGGTTGTCATAACGAAAGCTTGGAGAAGAAGGTCGAAACAGTTAGGATGAGGATTTGTTTTTGAACTTTCGGAGAAAGCTCATCAAAGCCAGCTGAGAGAACTGACGGCCCTGTCAAGGGGATCAGGAAGGTCGCGAAACATGTGGATGATGGACGGTGCTGTCTTCTGTGGTCATAGGGAGCAGCCGGCCGGCTTAGGATTTTCCTTTTCTAATGAGTCTAGGCTACAACTGTCCAACTGTCTACGGAGGTGAAAGAGACTCGAGACACTCTGGGAAGGTCGTTTCGAAACTTCTGCAGCTTAACCGTGGAATCATGACGGGTTGTTGAGCCAACTGAGCAGTTGACGAGACAAACTTTGTCGGGAGACAGATTGGAGACTCTGTTAATGCATCCGGAGGCTTGCGGTTCTGGCAATTCTGAGCCGGGGCAGCTTTCGTGGTGATGTGTTGGATTGCGTAATTAGCGAAAGAACGGAGTCGTGGTGCATTGTTATGGGATGAGAAGATGGTGGTGTTGCGAGTTAATCAAAAATCACGAACAGCGGGAGCGCAGAGCACGGAAAGTTACCCGATGTGGCCACGTGATATGCTCTGGTGCTGTGGTGTGAAGCTGGTCGAGGTGTGTCGGGTGTGTTCCAGTCCCAGAGCACCGGGCGTTCTCCCAGCTATTTACACTCCCCTTTCGAATCTCCTCCAAGTATAGATACTGCATGGTCAGCTTCGTTCATAATCTAACCTTTGATACCTCGTATAGAAGATCCATTCATCCAGGGCGGAAGATCAAGTAGCGAGTATTTCAATCACTATACTATCGTTGCGCAACCTTCTATAGGGAAGACTCGATTGTTAAGGTCCAATTGTTGATATGAATTCCGAGACAGAGAAGGCAGACTATGGTAGGGGAAGATTCAGTTCATGAGGTAGATTGAAGGAGCCGGGAAAGAATTAAAGATAGGGGACCTAATGCGCCGGGGCGAGGTGGGGAGACATTCAGGTGGTGTTGAGGTGAGCCACGACGGGATGCGTGAAGGCGTGATAACTTGACTACCTGTTGTGTGGAGAGTTCTGCAGTGCTTCGCGTGATCGGGAAATCTACCCTCTGAGGGTAGAGCCTCGCCAAGAGGAAGAGCTCCAGAATACACAGTAAAAGACCCCATTCCCAGTGTTATGATGGCGTTCGATGAAATTCCAACACCCAGCTCCGCGAGACACCGCCTCGCCGCTCCCTTAAGCTCACCTCCTACCTAGATTCCATTTTTTTTTTTTTTCTCAAGCCCTGACTTTGCCGCTGTTTCTCATCAGCGTCTTGCAAAAGGTCGAGGATTGTGGAACGAATTCTATGAACCGCCTCCACGGGCACCCCCCAGGTTCCGTAAACGTACGATTCAAGGCTCTCGTCATGGCCAATTGGATACCACTCAGTCTTGGTATGATATTTTCAATATAACCCAGACAACAAAACCTCAATCTGTGCCGTGGAGCCGTCCTGTCGAGAGGCACTCCTTGCCCATATAATCATCGCTGGGGTGCTGGAACTTGTCAACTTCCTTGAGCATAAGACCTGTCAAGCAGAACGAGCAAAAAGTTTCCTTTTCCACAGGGACATTCCCACTGATTTTGCACATGTTGGGGCTGTTAACTAGTGTTGAATCGCTATTTGCTTAACGAAATGCTCCTTATCTCTTAGTTACTCAGTAGTATTATTGCATACAGGGCCGCTCAACTATTCAGCCCCAGGCCCCAGTCCATCAAAGATTTTGCCGAAAAGGGTATCGAAATTCGCCCGAATTAGGCAAGATGATGAAATGTGGAACCAGATGCACTCCACGCCACACGGCCACAAGCCTTTCCTCTATGTTTCAACCGTGAAAGATGCGAATTTCGGCGTTAAACCACACTACCAGAGCTTCTACACACTCTAAGGAGGAGGCGCTGATGACGTAGCACTCTCCTGCAGCCCAGAAGCCGCATTCGTGAGCAACCGCATCCGCAAATCATTCACGATTTACAATCTACTCAGCGTAATGTTGTGGATTCCAAGGACAAATGAGGGAATTTGAAAGCTGCAGCTTTGGATAGCTTCGAAATGGTGTGTGCCTCGACGGATTTTCAATCCCTTCCACTCGGCTTCTCAGGGCGGTGACCTGTCGTTCTTCAACGCAGACAATCAGAGCCATCCGTTTCACTCCGTCAATGGATATCATCTGAATAATCAACCGACAGGATGGACAAACAGTCAGGCCCATTGTCCTCAAGTGGAAGCTTCTGCGAGATTGGTCTCATGATGCCGTCGACAGCTATGGGCGTAGGTGTTGGCGAGACAACCCGTATAAATACTTCGAAAAGCCCGGATAGAAGTCGTCCAGCGGCATCAAGGAAACTGATCTTCATCCCCAACCGGTTTACAACTAGGAACTCAACTAACAAGGGCAGGCATCAAATCTGCAAGCCTCCGATAGGCTTGGGAGTTACGACCAGTCGTCAACAACATCAAAATGTCTGACCTCATGCGCGAAGCGGTCTTTGGACAGCTGATGAGGTGGATCTCTGGTAACCGCCTATTCCAATACCCGGGAGACAAACCAGACTTCCAATTTCCCCCACAATATCAACTCCTCCTCGAGAAAGGAAAGATTGGCAACGCAACTGACATCGAATTCGAGAAAGATACTGCTCTCTCACAAATCCCAAGCAGGGCTGAGAGCCTCCCGTACAGCTATGAACGCTTCGACATCGAACAGCGACTTGAGATAGAAAGAACAAAATCTCTGTCCATCGCTCTCCGGCAGACAAATGACGGCATCATCCTTGTGGACTAGTACACGACTGACGACCAAGACAATCCGATGAACTGGAGCACCAGAAAAAGTTCCTTCGTCATCTTTCTCCTTTGCCTCTACACATGGGGTCGTCTACATTGGTTCCGCCATATACGCGGCTAGCTAGAAGGCGTCATGGAGCAATTCGGAGTCAGACACACCGCAGCCAGTCTCCCCCTATCGTTGTATGTGCTGGCTTATGGTATCGGACCACTGCTATTTGCGCCCTTGACGGAAATCCCCATCATCGGTCGAAACTCGATCTATATCATTACTTTCATTCTCTTCTTCATCGTCTCAATTCCAACGGCAGCAACGAACAGTTTCGCAGCCTTATTGGTCCTTCGGTTCTTGCAAGGTTTCTTTGGCAGTCCAGCAGTCGCAAATGCTGGTGCCTCATTTGGACATGTTTACTCTATTATGTATTTCCCCTATGCCTTGGGATGGTGGTGCTGGGCCGCGTGGGCAGGACCTGCGTTGGGGCCTGTCCTAAGCGGCTTTGCCGTCAGCGCCGAAAACTGGCAATGGGGTCTTTGGGAGATGGTCTGGATGGCTGCACCCGTAGTCATCATCCTCTTCCTCTTCCTGCCCGAAACTTCGGCTGCCAACATTCTCCTACTACGTGCACAGCGATTGAGGAACTCACCGGCTCTCCAATGTTCCAGGCTCAAAGAGAAATCGATTAGAGAAATCTTACAGCTCGCATCATCGCAGTCCACGCCTTGATCAAACCAGTTGAGATCGTGATCAAGGAACCCAGCCGTCGTCTTCGCCAACATGTACACTGCGCTCTTTTATGCCACGTACTTTACATTCTTCGAGGTCTTCCCCTTGGTCTTCCCGGTGATGTACGAGTTCAACCTTGGAGAAACGGGATTGGCGTTTGTACCCTGTCAGATTGGCGCAACGTTGGGCCTCCTCGCGTACTTCGCCTACCTACGGTGGTATATGATCCCCGACAACAAGAAAAACGGTCTACGCGAACAAGAACACCGACTCGTCCCCGGCATTTTCGGCTCATTTTCCTTCCCAATCGGGCTCTTCATCTTCGCTTGGACCGCCCGCCCAGACGTCCACTGGACGGTGCCCATCCTTGGAATCGTCCTCTTCGTCTTCGGCACCTTCTTCATCTTGCAGAGCATCTTTGTCTATGTTCCCCTCTCATATCTTCGATATGCCGCGTCCCTGTTCGCTGCCAACGACCTGTCGCGATCCTCCTTCGCGGCCGGGAGCATCCTCTTCGCCCGGCCGCTGTTTGTCAACCTAGGCGTTGACAATGGCGTCACGGTCTTGGCCTCCATCAGCGTCCTGGGCATTTTCGGCATGTTTGCCTTTATTACTACGGCGCCAGATTGCGTGCTCGGTCAAGCTTTGCACAACCCTGAGTCAGGAAACTACACAGTCACCTCGTCAGTCACAATTGCATATATCGGGGAGAAAGGGGGAAATCCGAAAACCCTGGAGCAACAGATATAGGTTTCTTTTGTGGTGTTTTCTTCGGATGGCGCGTTCTCGCGGCACTTTATTCGGTCGAAAGCCGTTCGGGAAAGGCATTGGTTACACGGCTCTGGTGTGGGTTTCAGTATAAGCAGGGTCTGGTGAGCAGCGGTCGATGTACGCATGCATGTATGCTTGTTTGCTGGCTCGCTGGGCATTGGAAAATTAGTTTGTAAATGAGCGTCTGTTGACAAGGATCTTACATTAACACCTACCGAGTTGTTGAATAGTTCCACCATAGGCCATAACCAAGGGAATCACACATACGTACATAACTGCGAGTCCAAGTTACTCTTTCGGGAGTACAGAGGAAGGTTAAATGTCTACCTCGTACATAGGCTCCAGCCATTCACAAACTGTCGTCCGAATCAGGTGGACTTGTCTTGCTTATGCAAGCAGCTTTCTATCTACCCACCCGAGCCACCCTACCTGTCTGGGAAAGCGCCGACTCTGTAGCTGCTGGTGGTGCTGTTGGAGGAGCATAGCACCTACAGTATGATCATACTACAAGTACACATGGGTGACGAAGTGGGTCGAGTATGCCCACTTTGAGATCCTGCCGGATGAGAAGTAAGACTTCTCTCGATCGGGAAAGGCGCAATTTAACTCTTAGCTCGCGGGTCCAGCTACATACTTCATACTCGTCGAGTCGTATAGGGCGGGGGAGCCTCGCTGCTTTGAGAGCGTAGTGGGCATGGTTGAAATGCTGATTCATTGTTTTGCGACAAACTACTACTAATGTACTCATATTCAAACTGTCTTGAGAAGAAATATAAATAAGTGTTGCTAACTGGGTTTCGCTAATTGCACGGTCGACACACAAATAGACGGACAGACGGGCGGCCAAGCAGAGAGCTTTCTCAGAGTGTCCTCCTCTGACTGGAAGAACCTTTTGTTCATTAAAACAAGAAAAGACAAAAAAAGAACAAATGGCTTCAAAAGACATCAGCGAATTGGCAACAGCCTTCCGCCGCCTCCATCGCCCGGGCAGTCCGCTCATCCTGGCCAACGTGTACGATGTCGTCTCCGCCAGGGCCCTTGCGCCCCTGTCATCCTGCTAGGCCCTGGCGACCGCCTCCTATGCGGTTGCCCTCGCGGCCGGCACGAGCGACGATGACTTGACGCTGGAACAAAACATGGCCGCCGGGGCCACGACCGTATTTGTGTGGGGAGGCGGCAAGCCAGGAGGTGTCAGTCGAGCGGAAGTGGAGAAGCTTGTCACGGCGTTTGGCGGTCATTTGAATGTCTCTTTGCAGTGGCCCTCCGGCGGGTTGATTGTCTCTGAGCTGGCGGGCATAGGAGTCGCTCGGATCAGTGTTGGTCCCACTATCATGCTTCTCGCCATGGCTGAGTATGAGCGGCAGGCAAAGCAGTTGCTGAGACAAGGCCACACTTAGTCTCTACATTCCCAGTTCCCAGTTGTGTCGTAGCATGTATAGCTGTCTGCAACAAGACCCATGAAAGCCTGAAAAGCCCGCTAATAAACCTTTCGACTCGGGATGAGTGAAATGGGGAGGGATTCAAAAGCCAATAACTTGCAGTCTCCGTAATGCGATAATCCAAGATCCTGAGCAGCAAGCGCAAGGGATTTCCTAGGGACAGTGCGACTGAAGGGCCATTCAGCCCAGCCATTTTCATTCCTTGCCGCGGGAACTCGCGGAGACCGGGGGCTGTGAAGAATGGGGATCTCCAACAGCAAAGCAAAAAGCCAACTAATGTCCCTGATGGCATCGAAAGTTGCCGAAGCCTAGGAATGGATCTGCTCTATTGAGAATGTGAGACCCTCCACAAGCAAGTGGCGTGTGAGATTATTGGAGGTCTAAAGTCGCACGGACAGCCATCTCTTGTGAATACTGAGGGGGCCTTGCTTAGGAAGGATATACACTTTCAGCGCTAAATGATAGCTTAGGGAGGGTGTGGCATAAAAAGTAATTGACCTTCTCAGGCCAGATTGCAAGTCCCAACAAAGTCGGTTGTAGACAACCATTTTGAAATATGTGGCCGTCTATTACGAAATTTACCATTGTCTAACTGCACCAAAAACGTTTATGCCTTTACTGTTGCCAAGTACCCCTCACTGAAGGGATAATCAATATACCCCTTCAGATCCTTGAGCGTGTAGAAGTAATTCCTATCATACGCATTCAAGGGTAAATTTTCCTTGATCCTGAACACCAAGTCCGGATTCGCAATGAAATGGCGTCCAAAGCAGACGGCAAAATCCCGGTCTGGGTACTCTTTGTCCACCAGCTTGCGCGCCAAATCACCACTGTATCCACCGGCGACAAGCACGAAGCCGTTCCACAGCCGATAGGCAAAGTCGAGTTTGTCCGAGCTGACGACGTCGTCACCCCCTTCAATGCGCGACTCGATCACATGCAGGTAGGCGAGGTCCAGTTGGTTAGCTTTTCTGACCAAGTCAGAGTATTGCAGGATCGGGTCTTCTATGCCCATGTTGAGGTACTTGCTCCAGGGGCTGAGGCGGATGGAGACTCGTTCAGAGCCGACAGCGTCCACCATGGCTTGGAGGACCTCGACCGCGAACCGAGATCTGTTTTCGATGCTGCCGCCATATTCATCATCCCGGTGGTTTGTGACATCCTGGAGGAACTGTTCGACGAGCATTGCGTTGCCGGCTAGCAGCTCGATGCCATCAAATCCTGCTTCGACGGCGTTCTTCGCCGCTTGACCGAACTGGTGGACTGTTCGCTTGATGTCTTCGACGGTCATGGCCTTGGGGACAGCAGCGCCTTCCATCCATGGAATGGCACTGGCTCCAACGATAGTAAAACCCTCCTTCTTAGCTTCGGAAGGATCAGCCATGCGGCCCATGCCCATAACTTGGAGAAACATGAAGCTGCCTTTGTGGTGTATCTCGTCTGTGATTTTCCTCTAGGCGGCAACCTGTCCGGGCCTCCAGATCCCGGGCGCGTTTGTATAACCGCTATGCTCAGGAGACAGGAGGTTGGCCTCTGTGATGATGAGGGTACCGGGCACAGCAGCTCTTTGGGAATAGTATTCCAGCATCATGTCCGTCGGCACATGATCGTCGGTGGTCCGCATCCGGCTAACACCAGGCATCACAATACGATGCTTGATTTCGATATTGCCGATCTTCATGGGTTTGAATAGGCGGGATCCGGCCATGGCAATGTGATCTGTCTTGTACGTGCGAGGCGTATCAACTTGAGATTGAGAGGGAGATGTAGATATGTTTGCTGATAGTCGGACGGTAGTTGACTGTCACAGTGGATGCTGAAATCGGGGGAGCCAGTTGTCCCGACCAAATAGAATCCAAGATTGCACAGAGTCTTCCCATCCTTGTCGTCGTTATTCATGCTTACCACCGGTTACCCGGCGGCATTAGTCCCTGTCTCGCCCAGTTTCCCACAACTGATGAACAACCTGCCCGTAAAATTGCCTCCAGGCGAAGCAGGGCGTATCAATAGGTAGTTAGTCTCGTCCTCAGGCTCTTTGTAGTCAGCAAATATCGCGTACATAGTATACACCCTCATGGTTCTTCTTTGATTGGCTGCTGTGATAGTAGTAATCCTTGCTCGTTTGGTTTGGTTGTTCTTGGAATATTGTCGTTTCACTGGTGAACATGTGCGGTTTTGCCCCAAAGGTTGGATCATGCATTTGGCAAGCAGCAGGTTTTTTTTTCGGTTGGGCCAATTACTCGTGCTTAGCAACTTGTCCCTACCTGGGCGCCTCGGCAGTATCGATGACGTCGAATCCGCTCTGCTGACACATTATACGCGGGTTAGGAAAAACCTCAACTTCTTTCCATTTAAAGGGGTATGTTTCTTGCCGTGCGCTATGGCTTAAGTGGTCCTGGGTAAAGCCAATCGCTGGTAAACAATCATGGAGCGAAGTGATTCAGGCTCAAGGAATAGGCCTGGTCAGAATGCTGGTGAGTGATGGTTCCTTCGCCAACAACTCCCCCTTATTTCCTCCGCTGACACATCCATAGATCAGTCCTTTCGATTCGTTACTATTCAAGACCCTGAAGAATCCAAGGGTCGCGAGTTGAGGAGATCAATCAGGTCACATGCCGTCAAGCAGGCTCTTCAGAGCAAACGAAGGAATGAAAGGACCCGGAGCGAGCATTTCCGTCCCACTACTTTCGATCCAAGTAGCTCGAGTACTGTAGAGAGGGCGACGCAAACCGAAGTACGAGCTTCTTCCGCCCTTCCGACCCTCGGGTTATTTCAGAGTTCCTCGGAGGACGGTGGAGCGAGTCTGTCGAGGTTGAGATCGTTGCTCAGATCCGGTAGGTAACTTTCATGTACTCACACTAGGAGTTTGTTACATTGCTCCTCATACGACCACGCTGTAGACGAAGCGAAGCAAGCTCTTGAGCCAGTCTCCAGCCTGGGGGATGATGTTGCTCTTCAGAATTTCCGTTCGGTGTTCCGGACAGGTGTAGATGACCCGGCCCTGCTGAACGCAGTCCTGCTCACGACAACTTTCGCCGCGACAAGAAATGTTCTCGACCAGGAATACCTCCACTACCAAACCGAGACGATCAAGATCATACGCGAGAGAATTAGCATGTCTGATCCCACCACTACCATCTCGACAATGGGTGCTATTCTGCTCCTTGCAGGCATCGAGGTGTGGGAGCCTGCTGCTGTTTCCACTGAGGGACACTGACCTCGTACGACCAGACACGCCTCGGAATGCGATCCCAAGTTGAAATTCATCTGAAAGCCATCCAGCGTCTGCTCGAATCCTCGAAGATTTTGCAGATATACTTGACCGATGGTATCAAGCGAGCGATCTTCTGGTGAGAGCGACTTGTTTCCTCATTTCTGCCAGCCTTGGTGCTGATGAAATGAATAGGCAGGACTTGTACTCACACGTCTTGACTGCCTCGGAACGTATAGTGACTCATAACACCTTCAACGAGTTGCGGTGGGAGAGGGATATCTTTCCTTCCGACATCTTTGTTTTATCGCCCGGATTCCAGAAAAAGGCACAGCTGTTCCCCGAGGGGTTCCTGGAAGTCCCCAGGGACATACATGCGATGCAGTGTTGTCGAGAGTCTTCGTTCTTTGCGCCCGAGGACACAATCTCCATGATGCATGTGGACAATAGCAGGCGTGGGTCCAGTCCAAACTAGTTGGCCTCCCGACGCTGCCATTCGTTCAGGAATGCTGTCGATGGGCGGCATATTTGGCCGCGTCAATGCTCTGCTGCAAGATTTGGCGGTTGTCCGTGATGCCAGTGAGTACCTCGCAGTAGAGCAGCTGCATGAGGCTGACTTGGACATTGCACTCTAGCCTTGGATCTCTGCGCAACTCCTTCAGAAGTTACAGCAGCGACAAGACGAGTCGGTATGGGACGGCCATCGCGACTTGCTGGCTTAGATATTGTATATCGGAGGCGCGTTCGCTCCTGTCGGGCCCGTGCGATCGGGCTATGTCGGGCTTGTGCGGGAGGAACATTCGCAAGGATATGGCTATCTGACTGCTTCTTGGCCTGATTTGGTTGAGGTCCTCAGACAGTTCGTCTGGTCTGAAAAGGCGTTTTATGCACAGGTGAAGGTGTTCTGGGAGGAGGCGATATCTATCCCGCGACTGATATAGCAGACTGCGAGAAGCTTCAAGCTTGGCATATCTAGCATCCAATTCAGCAAACGTCGACGTCATTAATGATATCTGAGCTTGGTGGTGTGAGATGGTCACCCAATATTACCACAAGCTGTCAGTACAGGCCCCCTGAACTCCACCCCTTTGGGGCCACCAACATGTCCAAGTGTAACCATATCGCCCCTTCACCATCTTACATAGTCATTGTACCAGCAGATGCGCAAAAAACAAAGGTAAGATTAACAACATCCAAGAAAGTTCAATGCCTCCATTTCATCCGATCCTGAGGCTGGTCGCACTGCCACTGGCACTGCCTAGACTTCCTCCACCATTCCAATCCGAATGCCCGCCGTTCATGTCGCCAACAGCATTTTGGCTGGATCCTACGACCTGATATGCGCTGCTTGGAGCTGGGGTCCAGCTCCTCTCTGGTGTAGCCACTTGAGGTGGGAGCCGTCCCGCTGCAGAAGGCCATCTTTCGTTGTTCTTCTCATCATCGACCACCACCACCATCCACACCCCAATCTGGCCTGACTGGCCCAGTAACGGAGTGCAGTGAATCCACTTATTCTTGCCTTGGTCATCGCCTTTGGTGACCCAGCGAACTTTGGCAGTCACGCCTCGTCCTTCAGCGAACGCCGTCGTCAATTCCTCACGGACTCGATTTGAACCGCCGATCTTGTTCAAGAAGGGCGATTGAAGGATACCGGGCAGTCTCTGTGACGGACTGGCAAACAGGATCCGCAAAGAGGGGTATGGTCGTACGAGAAGATACTGGAGGATTCGTCAAAATGTGAGCATGTTCGCAGCCTTCAGAAGGGACTTACGTGTTGATATATGCCACTTAATCTACCGTTGATGCTTGCAATTGATGGCACCATAGTGTCCGGGTCCTTCAGCAACAGTCGAGGTTGGTGGTGAGAAGAGACACTTTCGATGTCTTCTTCAACGATCTCACGATGCATCTTTCCGCCGTGACGTTTGATGGTATTCAACTCGCCCTGGTTGAGCATCTCGCTCAATTCTCGCAACTCGTCGTTCTTCTCGGGATTAGGCTTCTCGGGCAGCGGAGGATCCTCACCCCGAGCACGCAGATCCAACAATTTCCGTAGGGATTCCATTTCGGAGCAGTCTTTGACCAGGCCGCTCACGTCGACTTGCGCACCGATGTGGTATCGGATGACGCCTCTACTGTCAGAAAGTGGCGCCATCATGAACAAATTCACAAACGGAGAGCCGTCTCGTCGACTGCCACTTGTCAGACACGTCAAGAAACTGTGTGGTGTTTACACATACTAGTTGAGCAGGACTTCTTGATGCTGCCGGCCTGCTTTGAGAGCTTCTCGAATCCTCCGCAGGCTGTGCGGGTTTGTCATAGGCCCTTGCAGAAACCTGCAATTGCGCCCGACAACATATGACATGCCGTACTGGGTGGTCCGATTGAATTCTGCTTCCCGTCAGCAATGCACTCCTATCGTTCCATATCCTGGAGGAGGCGTACCTTCCGAAGCAAAGACAATTGGGTTGTCGTGTCTGGAGGGATCCGTCAAACAAAACACTTCGGCCAAGCCGTCCGAGGCTTCCCGAAGTTGCGGCGAGAGCGACCCCGTTATTCTGGCAGTGATGCTGTTGCTTACGACTTGGATGTACTGATGTGTGATGAAGGCAGGCAGTTCCTCCATCGCCAGGATTTCGAAAGCCTTGTGCGCCCTCTCTTCCAATGCCGTGTTGATGGTCGGCTTGACCGGCCTTTGCGTGAAATCATATCCTTCTACAGGGTCCAGACCCTCGCAGATGGCATTGGCATAATTGATGGCCCGAAGGGATTTGAGAGAATCGAGATAGTGCACTAGGATGGGCACCGACTGGGGTCTATACATTCCGAGGAAGGATGTGAATTTGAAGAGGTAGCCGGGATCGGCAAAGATGACTTGTAGATGTCCCCTCGAGAACAGTGCTTGTGTCTGGGTTTCTAACGAGAAGATGTCGCCTTGGTCTGGGGGCGCGGGAGAGATGAGGTTGAAGGAAGCCGGATCGTCTTCAAGGATGGGCTCCAAACTGTCACCGTTCTCCATTTGCGCATTTGCTTGTAGTCGAGGCAGTTCTTGTTCGGTGCGGCGACCGCCATTGACTTGACGCAATTCGTTTTCTTCGAGGGGTTCGCGTAGAAGGGCGTCGGTCGAATAGGTTACGGGCAGTTCTTTGGGCTCTGGCACAGCAGTCTGTGCCGTCGAGGATGGACGGTCGGAGGCATCGTGGGCCACGACGGGGCGGGAGGGCGAGCCGGGTTTTTCTGCGCTGAGGGAAGAGGTGGCAATCATGTCCGACTCGGGGTCAACCAACGGGCGTCAATGGAGTCGGTGAGGTCGATTGCTCTGAGCGTCTTGCACCCGTGGATTTGATCGAAGGGAGGCTTGATCGATGGAGCAGGGAGAAGCGGCGGGTTGGAGCGGTATTTTGAATGACATCGGCTGCAAGGGTAACGCTGCTGTTTGTTGGCAACTGGAGCTAGAAACGAAACGAGACTGCGGCGAACTAGATGTGACGATGATCAAGCGAGCGGATCATGCTGGTCTGGTGGTCTGGCGGTCTGGTCTCGTCTCTGGGGGATCACCCTGATGGCCTTGAACGCTCAGGTCAGTGCACGAAGAGGGAGAAACGAAACCACAGACGTCAAGATGCGGTGGAGGACGACCGGATCGAGCATGGGCTGAAAGGGCTGCACTCATTTGGGATACTCGGTATGATTTCATGCAGGTACGGAGCAGTTGGAGTAGTGATCTTCCACCAGCCACCATTGGCACCAGCACTACCAGCCCCAAGCACTACAGCGGGCCTAAAACATCAGTTGAGGAGTCTTGGGAGCTCCAGAAATTATCGAGACTGTGGAAATTATGGAGACGACGGGTTTGTTGTTGTTTCTTCCACTTGGGGTCCCAGCTTCTCCCTTGGCCGCCGCAGTGGCAGCCTGGTGCCACCATGGATGCCCCCCGTTGCCGAACCTGTACAATCTTCCCATTTCGCCCAGAACAGTAAAACGAGGTGCTTGAGGAGCATATTCCGTCTAATACGATTCCAAAGCATTGCGCCAACGAACCAACAATAGTGTGCTCCCCTGTTGCCCCATTCGTGGCCACAAGCCCGAGCCTCTCGTCTACTCCCCCGTCTTTACGAGCATCTAGGCAATTTTACTAATCTGTGCAAAGGGTCAGTGGTGTGGGCTTTTCGGTGAATCCCCGATTCCCCGGATGACGGGATCAATAAGCTCTGGCCAAGTAGAAAATGTTTAGTGACTGATATATCCAGGATCCATCCACCACCTCGACTTCGACATCCCAGATAATCTCTGTTTCGCAGCCGGAACAAGCTGGCGAAACGACCTGGTTCCCCAGCTTCAGTTTTCGTGCCAACGCTCTCTTTGTTCTGTGGACGCTGTTCCGTTGATTTGGTGTTCCAGCCAGTCTTCTATCACTAACTACTCTCTCGCTGCTGATTTTGGCCCACAAGCGAACTCGACCTGGAGAATTTAGAATTTGTTTTAGACGACCGAGTACTCAATATGGAAGAAGCTGCTCCGATATTACCGGGATACCTCGACAAAATTGTTGATTTCGCCGACGGGAATGCCTATGAGCTTTTGAAACCTCTGGCTACTTATCGGTCTTGTCACGATGGCACGCCCGCAGAAGCGCGGATAGTTCTTACTTGCCGGCGCCGAGAAGGAGACTCTTCGTCGCTGGACGAATATGTCATGAAGATCAAGATTCAGTACGCCTCCACTCCGGCCGACATGTTAAGGCTGACTTCAGGCATTGAGAATACCGGGAGGAGAACGGCGACCCAGCAACAGCCCAGAAGTCGGCCCTAGTACCACTACAGCACATGAACTCAAGGCTTTGGAAAAGCTCCGACATACACATAGTGCATTCACACCGGTGTTGGTGAATTTCAAAAAGGCAGTCCAACCTGCTCAAGGACCACTGCCGGGAGGCTACCTCACGTTCCTTGTCATGACCAAGATGCCAGGCGATTCACTATTTAACATGTACTATTGGGGCATGCCGACTGAGGAGAGGGATGAGATCACACAGAAGTTCCTTGTTGCGCTCAAGTACGTCGTTTCGCCCTCGGAACCAAGGCCAACCTTGGGCCTACTTTGCAATTCCAATCCGGCTGACACTCGACAGGTGGATTCACGCCCAAGGCATAGAGCCCGTGGACTGCGGGCTGCGAAATATTCTATGGGAGCGAGAAACCAAGAAATGTAGCATCATCGACTTCGAACTCTGGCGCGAAACAGATGCGCCGTTGGGCGACGATACGAAAGAACTGCAGAGATGGGGCCTTGCTCGCCAGCCCGCTGCTAAAAACCATTGGGAAGCTTGGAATCAGATGTTTCGATAGATGGTTCGCATACAAGGCTGCTTTCAAATAGAGCTCTAGATCGTGATATGCCGGTGAGTTATACACAATACAATTCAATACAACCAGAGAGGTTGCAGAACAGAGATGTTGAGATACAACGAGGACGAGTAACATGGTGTGGGATGATTCGAGACCAGTGACGTCATCGCCAATGTCAACGGTGAACGCGTCCCAGCCAGGTCGGACACGCGCCACAATGCAGTCAGCAAGTATTTTCGTTATCCTCCCTACAAAACCGACATTTGGCTTTAAAAGACACTCCCCCCTCCCCCCCGATCCGACTGCTCCCAAGCCGCAGCCCGCTCGCGATTGAGGCTTCGTATTTTTGGGGGGGGGGGGGGGGGGGCTCCCTCACACACATCACGGTGATGGGCCCTGGCATCGATTCCGAGGCCCAGCGTCTCGCGAACGTGCAACAGAAACAAAAACTGCTCGAGGAACTCAATCTGATCACTACCTCCGATGCAAGAGCGGCTGGCCGGGGTGGCATACAGGGAAGAAAGGAGTCCCCCAAGGAGCGGCGGAGGCCACGGTCCGTCCGACCCGGCACAGCCCTGAAGATGCCCTCGAGGACATCTGCTCGGATCGCCGCCGTGAAGACCCTTGCATCTTCCTCGTACAGCGGATCAGAGCGTGATGTGGAAATGGTTATAGACATACCAGTCAGTGGCAGCTCATCGAGGAGGAGAATAAGGGACAGAAGCACCCGCAGGCCCCAGCTCCCTCGTCATCAAACAACCCAACCCGAGACTACTTCAATCTCACAGCCCGTCTCACCGTCTCTACCCACCGACCTGCCCTCACTTCTGGAGTACTACAACTCATGGACCCCTTCCGCCCCTCCGCCAACACTAGATCCAGAAACCCAAGCATACCACTTCCCTTCGCACCCACACTTCCGCCCAAACAAGTCCCCGCTCTCCATCCTCCTGGAAGGCGCCTTTGGGGGAACCTTCTTCTCCCCGTGGCGCAGCCGCACGCTATCCTTGACCCTCATAGACGACCACCTACGCACACTCCCTAGTTCCTGGCTCGCCGAGCTGCAGCCTCCGGAGAAATACATCACCTCTCCCCAATACAACGCCGAGCTGAACCGCCACGGCAAGGCTTGTGGCCAGACGCTCGCGCAGTGGGAGCAGGCCGGGTGGATCAATTTCCGCCACGACCCCCGTGGTTGGTTCGAGTGGTACGTCCGCTTCTGGCTCGGGCGACGCCTCAATAACGGCGAGGACGAGCGCCAGGTCGCGCGGTGGCTAAGGTGTGTCGGGCCCAAGGGCCGGTGGAAAACGATGCTCCTGAAGAAGTACGTCGAGATGGGCGTGCACAGTGTTTTTGACGACGGGGGTGATGATGACGTCGTCGACGAAGATGACAAACAAGAAAGGAAGGTCAGTCCCGTCATGCATCAGACTTGTCTGCATTGGGGATACCAGGTCGGACAAGCGGATTTGGATGACGCCTGGCGAGCGAGGAGGGGAGAGGCTGGGTGAACTACAGTAGCTACAGAATCAGTCGACCCGAGAGACGGCGCCAGACCGAGCAAAGGGCCTGTGTGCCCCTTCTCTTGAAAAGAGAAGAGAAACAAAAACCAAGAATGTTTGAAATTTTTAATGACAAGATATTCCGCTACGTGCACAAGCACATGCACGCTGGTCTACCCGCTAGCTATCCAGAATGCATATGATATATCGTATGGCTCGAGAGTGTGCCCTACCTCACGATTACCACTCTCGCCCAAAGGGTATCGAAACACAAAGAACGCCGATATCGTATTAAATAGACTCCACCTCACCACCTGCTGGGCGCCAAGGTCATGTTTCTTTGTTTAGGGAAATGAGATTCGTGTCATTATAACACCCTCCGCTGTCAGAATCCCGCATATAATCCTCCCCTTGCTCTTGTTGGTCGTATCATTAAGTGAGGCTCACCACGCGGGTGCGGATGTCGACGGCGTTCGTTGTTTAGTTTTAGTAGGGGCAGTGTGAGGGAGTTGAGTCCTTTCCCTATTGATGGCCTTTTCCGCAAATTCATGCAGCGACTGCGGTCGGGCTGGGCGCAGTCATTGGTCTCTGTGTCAATATCATGTCCCAGGTCTGGGTGTTGAAGTGGACGTATGGCAGTTCAAGATCTGGATCGTACCGGTCACTGTCGACGATCTTGACGTGAGAAGCTGTACTTCGAAGAACGAGCGATTGGGGTCGGTGTCTGATCGTCGTTGCACTCAGTTCTGCTTGGATACCGCTCCGCTGTTTAGTGATGCTGGTAGATTTCAGTTTCTCCGCCAGGGTGCATGCCGCGTTGTTCGCCGGTATAGCCACGGCAATGTCGTTGTCCTCGTTAGTATTTGAGGAGGCACTGCTGATGGACGAACTGGACGACTCGCGAGACATGCTTGGTGGCGTTGTAGCTGAAACCTCAGATACCGGTAGGGGAGGCAAGTCCTCGGTGTCATTGGCGGCCATTTCATGGACGATGTCACCCGGAAGCTCTTGAGGTTCTTGTTTGTCCTCTTTAATTGCATTCTCTGTGGTCTCAGGTTCGGCGGTAAGCTCCGCCGGAGGAGAGTCGGAGGCATCACGGGCAACTTCATTCAGGCCATTTCCATAGCCTTCAACGTAGATCTCGCAGAATGAAGGGCGCTTGGAAGGCATCTCATCCCTGCTGGTCTGACCTCCTCGGGATATCAGTCTTCGGAGTGAGGCAGAGCGGGATGCTGGTGGTGTTCTGATGGACAAGGAAGCCATCAAAGAGGATCCTGGTAGATTCGCAGGAAGTGTGCGCCGACGAATCTTCGCCGATCTCCCCCTTGTCAATGTCTCACCTAGCGACGAAGACGACACATTGGTATGTGAATAGCCATTGTCAGGAGCCAGCTGAGATTGCTTATTCAGAGTCCGGACTTGGGGTAATGGCGATTCCTGCCACGGCTTCTGCTTCGGAGGTTGACAGCAAAGAGAATATGTTAGGTTGGAAGTGTTGCGTACTTCCTTTGGAGGTTGGGCGATTGAATGGAAAGTTTGGAGGACGGCATAAACCAGGATCCATCTCACTTTGCGGCCTTCAATGGCAGAGAGTCCTTCAAGATCGTCGTCAACGGTCATCTCCTCAAACTCAGAGAACTTTCGGACTAGAGGGCAGTCCATGACCAATAGATCTCGATTTGAGGCGTCAATCAGGGCGCGTTTGTCATGCGCTTTTCGTGTTTCCTTGAGAGCCTTACGCTTTTGGAGCGGATTCCAAGACATTCTTCGCTGAAGTTTGGGACGTTGGCCCCAGCTCGACTCCAGGGGCTCCGGTAATAGAGGCAGCGGCTGGGCAAGTGGCTCATAAGAGTGCTTCTTGTCAAAAGCCTGGATGTTTTGCAGAGTACACACCCCACCAGTCTTGGTGATGTCATTCTCTACCATATCCACTGTCGACTCGGGATCCACAAGGTGCTGGTAGAGGTTGCGGAAATCAGAGAACATAGTTGAGTAAATAGTTTGTTGAACGATCTCTTCTTCGAAATCATCAGGAGGCCACGAGCCGTAGCGGTCAAGGTAAAATGATTTGAGGAAGGATCGGAATTTGTTGAGGTGCTCTCTTGCTGGCTGGGGCAGGCCGAGAAAACTTCCCGAGACGTCGTTTTCAAAGAAGGTCACAATGGATTTGTTGACTCTGTCAAGTCGAATATCCATCTCGAGCCTGGCTCGATTGATGAGTGTCTTGGATTTGGCACTCAACACCTAAGCTTGGTCAGTTTTGATAGTCGGGGAAAAGGGTTTGCTAAAAGAATATTGACTCACGGCGTATTCGATGCTGGATCGAAGGCCACGGTGACTCATTCCCACACAATGGGCAAACGCGTCCACCCAAAGATCCTCAACCTGAAGAGTCTCTGCTAAGGAGAGAGCCGCTAAAGCATGATCAACACATTCCCTAAAGTCCAGGTACCTCTGATTCTCGGCATATGACAGCACTTCCACTTTGTTCTGGGAGCTGTCATCGGGCCGATAGACATCGATTCTCCTCTTTAGCGCCGCTAAAGCTGATCCTAGTGTCCGGCCAGCTAGCGGTCGGTTGTAGAGCCATGCAAAGAAATTTCGAGTTGTAATGTGATGGTTGAAGATATCTTCCAGGCTTGCCCCGTGTGGCGCTGGGATGTACAGTTCTTGAACGGACTCCTGAGGGTCACATCCTGAACAATTCGGCAGGACACATTGCACTGCCGCATGAATGGAGTTCCTCACCACGCAGCGGTCCGCGAGAAATTCAAACCCTCTGACTTTGAGGAAGGCGGTATGGACTCGAAAGGCAGGTCCACGACTAGACTGGCCCGGTTCCCGCAAGTAGACAAGGCAGTCTCCTGTTGGCCAACATAACTCAGGCTCCTAATAATTTTGAACCATGAGTGTCGCGTCAGACGACGGCAAAAGTGGCATGCTTTGAGTGAGAGAGCACATACGTGAAACAGATTGACCCAGTCCGTCGTGATTCGAGCTCGCCCATCCCATCGCCTCAGCCCTGCTGAGCGAATGTCGTCGCGCGTCACGCGACCCTGAATGCGTCTCATGGTCGGGGGGACAGGACCGAATGAAAAGAGATTAGAGCTATGAGGCCGTCGGGAAATCGTATGTATATCTCATCCCTGCCGAAAACATAGGGACGCAAGGGGCGGTATGTACAGGGGGAGGGAGGAGGAAGGGGAAGGTTGGATGAAAGAGATGTCCAACGTTGGAGCCGGGCAGGGCAGAGTATGTAGATGGTTTTGCTGCAGAATAACACGTAAAACCCAGCTTGGCGGTGAAGGCGAGTCTCGACTCAATGGCCACCTCAGGTAGGGAGAGGGGAATCGAGTTCAATTGCGCATGAGGCTTGGGTGCAGAAGCTGGGAGTGTGACAGTAAGAGGCAATGAGCGACGTGGCGGGGGTGGACAGCAAGGGAGGGAAAGGACACGGGATGGACAAGACACAAAGTCTCCTTTGGCAAACAAACTAATGCGGTCGTCGCACAAGTAGAGAGCTTCAGCAAGATAAAGTCCAGGCTCGCAGCGTACCTGGAGGTGAGAATGGTCGAGTACGTAGCGGTTGTAGTGGTGGTGGTTTTTTTCCATTGAAGCTCAGAAGTGATGATGAAAGGTGGAGTTTTTGGGCTTGTCCGACTGTCGCTGCAGCCAGCCACTGAGGGGACGGTGCCTGTCGGAGCTCAGGGAGACGCTATGCCTGGGGAGGACTTGGGGTCTCGTTGGGGGCCGTTCTGACGTGAAAAGGCCTCCACATTTGGATCGGGGCTCGCGATCGTCCCGAGCTCAAAGTCCGTCCAGTGCAGATCCGCCTATGCTTTTAGTTAAAAGCGCCTACCTAAGGTACCTCGTAGGTATCCACCAGCTGCTTCCCTGTAAGCTCCCTGCTGGCCAACCAGCGCGACACCTGCCTGGCGCCGGCCTCGCGCGTCTCGCCAGAAGAGTCCGGCCAACAGGAAGCTTCCAAAGCTCAAATTCAAGGACTGGTTCCATGGACCCCGGAGCCATTGTCCCCCCAAGTGCCCCCGAGGCTCGAAGCTCACGGTGGTAACTGTGCATCCCACTACGCTGCAAGCCTGCGACAAGGATCCCTTCTTAGCAAACACCTGCGATAAACTGCAATGCCTGGCTGACAACTCATTTACCGCTCATCGCTTCTTTGTCCCTCTGGCCTCTCGCTTCCTATCTCGGATCCCCAGCCAGAGAGAAGGCGCCCAAAAAGGGCTCAATCTCTTTCTAGAGAGGCCGATGCGCCGACCTTTGACGAAATCCAGTTTAGGTCTCTCGTCTCTCGCCTCGCTAGAAGCAACCAGCGCATCACTTCCTGTTTAAGCCCTTTACCTCGACGAGCACACAGTTGCCACCTCACCTGGCCACTGGCCGACCCTCCCGTCTCTGACAACGATCAGCGCTCAGCTGCCCCCCGACTCGTCCTGACCCCCTTTCCGTCGCTTGCCGCCTCGTGTTTGTTGGTTCTAACAGCATTTCCGAGTCCTGGCTGATAAAAAAACGCGTATCGTCTCCTCGCGTGTTGAGGCCCGATCGGACAGTTGGATTGGCTTAAAAAAAAGCCGAGCATACCGAGGATTTACAACGAAAGTCAAAACCCATAATTATAGTAATGCCTGCTTCCCCGGGCTGAAGCAGCAATTCAAAACCGCCGTGTGGCAGGCCAAGATAGTTGGATATTACATTGGACGTATCAGAAGAGTATGACAATCGGAATAACGCAATACAGTTGGGACAAAAAGCCCTGCTCCCCCAATGGCTGTTCTTGCTCTGCCACCAGTTCGTGCTTCCTCTGATGGCTGCTCGCTGCATGATCCTTGCACTTGACCCAGGACGAGGGGGTGGTGCGACATAGGCGAGGTTGCCGGGCTCTCCCAGAGTCTGCCGAGCCCTAACTTGGTACAGGGTACAATTTCAGAGCCACCAGAGCGCATTCCCATGTCCCGGAACTTATCAATTGGGTCCCACTACTTCGGACCACGGAATTGCTTGCAGTACTAGCACTTACCTTGGAGTACACGTTGCTTGCCCCATATCGAGAGTAGCACCTGTAGTCTTTTATGATGTTATGTCAAAAAGTCCACAGAAAGATTGGAGCAGGTGCGCTGTCGGGTTTCGCTGTTGTCAGATCGACACTGGTGACAGTACATACGTAAGAAGATTGAGGTACCGAGATAGCAATACGGCTGGATCGTCGACTCTGGGCCCTGGTCTGGACGCGTTGACTGGTTGAGAAGGAACAAAGATTGGCATGTTCAATATCAATGAGAATTGCACTCAAGCGTCGCCGTAGCACGACATACTTGTATGGGCTCAAGATAAACGGGAACCTCTGCTATTGGAAGGGAAGCTCCCCATAGCTCCCCCGGGCCATGCCAACCCCAGCCATCGAGGATAGCGGTCAACGTTGGCCACCCATTATCGGAGCATTTTCTGTCAAGCCGAGCTGCAGGTCTTGCCCTAAAGTGAAGCAGAATGAGGGAAGAAAGGTGTCGATCGGCCATGGCCTGTACCTAGACAAGTCGAGTGATAGGCCACCTGCAGTTTTACATTTTGGGAGCTCTTGGAACTTGCCGTGTTGCTAGAACCATGAGGCCTGGAACGAGGCTTGCATTAGGCCGTGACACCTGGTCGGTTTCCCTGCCTTCGGGATTCAGGTGGCGCCATCTTTAAAGCCCGAAGAGTCGTTCAGCCCTAGAATCGTTTTTCTGGATTCAGGAAGCTCGCCGATCAGGGATGTTGCAAAGCTGCCAAAGTCGGCAGCCCCATCCTCCCGAAACGGACAGCCGAGAGGCCAGCCAAGCACTTATGATTGCACATGATATCAGACTTCGACGAGCACTCGAACCTCACCGTCCATCCAGTCAACAACCCCAGCGCTCAACAGTGCAATCATCCACTGTCCGTCTTCCTCCACCTTTACCAGGCCATCTGGGAGCCATACCTTGACAACTGGACGGCTTTGCGTGCCAGGACCACCTCCCGTTTGGACCGGCCAGGTGTACCTTTTCTCCACCTCGGCAAGCAAAGTTGACAAGCTTGGGGCTACTTCTGCTGTCAAGGTAAACCGGGGTATCACTCGTCTTAGCGCTCCGCCAGTATTTGACACCACGTTGACATAAAGAACAATTGATTGCTTGAATGTTGTTGTTGGCCGTGACACATGTGGCGGCAAGCTTGGGGTATCTTGTTGAACTGGTATGGGTAGTTGTACTTCATTCTCTTGGTCTGGATAGATTGTTTCAGGAACTTTGCCCTCGGACACGATAGGCTTGTTCACAGGTGCTGGTGACTGCTCCTCGCCCGATCCTTTGGCGGAACTTTGTTTTCTGGTCGCGGCAGCATAGATCCGCTGGCGCTCATTGGTAACCATCTTCCTCATCAGCGGCATCATTAGCTTCGTGATGGTCTGGCTGTCCTGTGGCCAGAATATAGTCCTTGGAGGCGCTCCGGGAATACCACCACCTACTCCAGGTGCAAAATACTTCTCCCCATAGCCGTGGACGGAGAGGAACTCCTCAACACAATTCCACAGGTTCAGCTTGGCGAAATCTGAGCCACCTGCACTTTTCTTGGGTGCCACAACCTCTCTTCGCTCAGGATGCGCCTCGTCCAGCATATATGCCTTGGCATCAGTTTGAAGCCGTAAGAAGTTCTCTGGAGCCAGCTCCAAAGACGCAAAGACTTTCCCCAGAGGCGGCCTGCTGTGTTTCCCACTCTTTGAAGACGGTTCTCGGAACAAGATAGACGCAGAGCTCTGAAGGTGCGGAGGGTTTGACGCAGCTGCAGGATCAGGCGCATCTCCAACGCCCTCTTCATCTAGTTTAGGATCGTGTTCAACAACATCGTCGTCTCGCTTGCGCTTTCCTAGCGACGACGGGTCCCGAGTCTGTTCTCCGGCTGCTGCGGTTGCTGCTTGAACAAGGCCTGCGAATTGAACGTCGTCGGGATAGTCTGATGCGTCTGCCATGAGGTAGATTTCGAAGCAGCCCCAGGCTGCCGAGCTGGGGCCTGCCGGCCTGCTGTAGGTCGGTGCGAGTTTGCTCGAGATGGAATAAAAGATGGAATGCGCCGAGTCCAATCGCAGATGGCAGACCACGGGAATGTTTGTACTGTTTGACAGGTGGTGAAAGCAAACAAATTCGCCCAGCAAAATGCGGAGGAAATCAGCGTGTGGAACAGCCGCAGTTTTGCCGGCTCAGAAGCTCGCCAGTTAGTGCCAAGCCCGGCGGAAGGACTTCAAGCCCGCTAATTGATGACAGCCACATTGTCTCCTTGCTCTCTTCTACAACGTCGCTTACATTCTCTCAGGGCTGCTACACAGGGTTCAGCTATGTAAAAGGATCGGGAGGGCTATCTTTCATCCAGCTGTAATCTTGGGGAGTCGTCATTCGTTATATTCCCGGCCGCTTCTAAAATGTTCACAGCCACCAAACTCCAAGTTGCCACGTACCTGCTTGGCATCTGTCCCTTTTCCATCGCATTTCTAGTCTTTCTCAATTCCTCAGTCTCGTTTGTTATTACGGACCTCATCGGCAAGGAGGATGGCGTCGGTGATGCCGTTGGGACACTGGGTTTCGCCGACGAGCTGGTGGCATTGGTAGCCTGTCCACTATGGGGCTTGCTCTCTGATCGAATGGGCTTGCGTCTTGTGAGGCCGTCTTTGACACTTTCACAAATCACAAAACTAACACTTAACAGGTTTGTGTTGCGGGCTACCTGATCATTTGTCTGGCATTGATTTTGTTCGTCCAAGCAAAGAATGTCTATCCTGAGCTGCTGCTGGCGAGGTTATTCTTTAGCATGGGGGGCGCCGCAGCTTCTACCATGGTCACGGCGATTCTTCCTGCTGTTGCAGCACATTCTACTGGCTTTCCTGCCGAGAACCAGCCTGCGGGCGTCACGCAAGCTATTGGAGGCAATGGCCACGTTTCCAGCCCGTCAGTTGAGTCAGAAGTTACCATCACACCCGCAACATTCGTGTCACGATCATCACACCGCAAAGACAATGGGAATTTGACAGCAGCTGACTCTGACATCACTGGTTCGACGAGTCGAGTTGCCGGATTTGTGGGCATGTTCACCGGTTGTGGTGCCCTAATCGCCCTGACCCTTTTTCTACCCCTTCCGGCTAAGTTTCAGTATGCAGGAGTCGGTGAGAAAGCTGCTCTGAAAGACAGTTTTTACATCGTGGCAGCTGTGTCTTTTTTCCTGGCTATCTGGTGTTTCTTCGGTCTTCGACGTCTCCAATGTGATGCCGAACCCAGCTTCTCGAGATCCACCCTGGCTCAAGGCAAAGGTGCCATGTCCCGCTTCGCCGACGATTTCAGTCAAATGTCGACCAATTTTCAAACTGCTGTCATGGCAGGATTTAAACGTTCGGAAATTGGCATTGGGTACCTTGGGGGTTTTGTGGCCCGCGCATCTTCTGTTGGCATTTCTCTTTTCATTCCTCTTCTTGTCAATGCCACGTTTCTCTCATCCGGCCTTTGTGTGGATCCAGCCTCCAGCGATGATCCAACTGGTCTCCCAGACATTAAGAGAAGTTGTCCTCGTGCCTATGTTGTTGCTTCCGAATTGACCGGCGTCGCGGAACTGGTGGCCCTTGTCTTTGCTCCTGTATTTGGCTACTGGGCAGCGAAAGTCACGAGAAAAGAAATCCCGCTCTTGGTGGCCTCGATGGCGGGAATAACCGGGTACCCCTTGTTCGCCAACGAATTTGATCCTGATGACAGAAACACACCGCAACGGGTTGCAGCATTTGTCGCTGTCTGTCTTATCGGAATCAGCCAAATTGGCGCTATCGTGTGCAGTCTGGGCACGCTGAGTAAAGGTGTACTTCGGAAAGAAGCGAACCGTCCGCAGGGCGACCAACGAGCTGCAGACTGCCTCGACGAGGAGGAGCCTCTTCTGACAGCCGCGCAAGTTGCAACCATGGAAGCGCCGTTGTCAGCCTTGAAGGGCTCTGTCGCCGGTGTATATTCGCTTTACGGAGGGGCTGCGATCCTGATTCTAACGAAGATTGGGGGTCTACTATTCGACAAAGTCTCCTTGGCAGCACCGTTTTACATCATGGCAATCTTCAATGCAATTCTCATGCTATCGTGCGCAATCTCAAGTCTCTGGACTAGCAAGGCACTCGCGACACTCCCGGAGTCTGGGTTGTTGGGTGGAGGCTAGTTATGACAGCTCCAAGGGATTCATCGAGCAATCCGGTGTGACTCCCTACTCTACCGTGGGAACTCGTGCTTTGTTGCACCGAAGCCGATAAGCGAGTCTCAGGCCTGAGGTATTATCCAAAATCAAGCATCACGAAGGACATACGATAGCCTGATCTACCAGTCAGATTAGCTCACCCCGATGCTGGCCACGGATGGATTTCGGTCTCTACTCCTCCGACTACAAATCTCCAAGTCTCTACTCTTCTTTACAGCTTCTCTGGCGGCACTCACTGGCTTCTCCGCTCGAATTCTGGAGTTTTCCCCGCAACCTTAGCGTGATGATCGGCGAGGCTCTTGATTCCGGCAATCAAAACATTTGTTCGGCTCCAGCTTCACCGAGCAAGATTCAAGCATATACGTTTACATCGTCACTGCCATCACTCAGCAATGTTTGAATCACGACGTGTCGAGAATTTCTTTCGGTGTAAAGACAAGCCTCAGCATGGTGTTGACTCTCTTCGTGTTGTTGTTCTGCTCCTTGTCCTCTAGGACATCTGCGGTACGCTACGCAGAGTATATTCTAACTCCGTCCTCTCGGACCATATACCCGGTGTCTGTTTACAACATCAATGGTACCGTCAAAAATGCTGCCGGTTTAGTAAACGCAAAAGCAGCGGCCACCTTTACCGGTCCATCAGCCGCGACTTATGACTTTGGGAAAAATGTGGCTGGTATTGTGTCATTTGACTTCAACGGTAGCACTGATGCTCGAGACGTCTATATTGGAGTCAGTTTTACTGAGAGTTCTTTGTGGATTAGCAGCGAAGGATGTGACGCGACGGCTGATGCTGGCATTGATCAAACCCTCTGGTTCGAGGTTTCCGGCACTGGTCACCGTCAAGCTTCGGAGGAACACCAACGCGGCGGATTTCGCTATCTCAACGTATATCACAACTCCACTACTAACGTGACACTCACAAACCTTTCTGTCTACTTTACGGCAGTCCCCCAGAAGACTGAAGCAGATCTGCAAGCTTACACTGGCTATTTTCACACCAGCGACGAGCAGCTGAACAGAGTTTGGTATGCTGGTGCCTACACAAACGAACTTTGCACCATCGAACCGACTGCAGGCGATGCCTTAAATCATCTTGGAGCTATCAACTCTAGCAGTACGATAAATTCTCCTCTGCCATGGTACCTCAATTACACAATCGCATCGGGCGCCAGCGTACTAGTCGATGGAGCCAAACGCGACCGGCTCGTCTGGCCGGGTGATATGTCTATTGCTGTTCCGTCCATTTTCGTATCCGCAAACGATCTTCCAACAGTAAGGAACTCGCTGGATTCCCTCCTCCGACTACAGAATTCTTCGACAGGAGCACTACCTTACGCCGGTATGCCGTTTGGGCAAGAGATGCCTGTCTTCAGTTTTACGTACCACCTGTATTCTCTGATTGGAATCTATGACTATTACCTTTACAGCGGTGACGAGGCTTATCTTGCCAGAAATTGGGAGCGATTCAAATTCGGGCTCAATTATTCGATCAGCTTCATCGATTCATCGGGCATGGCAAATGTCACGACCTCGGCTGACTGGTTACGTTTTGGAATGGGTGGCCATAATATCGAGGCTAACGCAATCTTGTATCGTACTCTCAATCTCGGGACTACGCTCGCTGATATCATGAACGACTCGACTGTATCGGCGTGGTCTAGATACGCGGCGAGAATCAAGAACGCAACAATGGTCCAGCTGTGGGATCCTGTGGCGAACCTCTATCGTGACAACGACACTTTGCCATTAACCAAACTCCATCCACAAGACGGCAATGCCTGGGCAGTCGTTTCCAATCTTACCGGCTCCTTTGAGCAGAATATCAACATCTCCAAAGCCCTCGCCGCACGTTGGGGGCCTTATGGAGCGCCGGCCCCTGAAGCCGGCGCCACCGTCTCTCCATTCATATCTGGCTTTGAACTACAAGCACACTATCTTGCTGGCCAAGCAAACAATGCTGTGCGACTGATGAAACTCATGTGGGGCGACTTCATGCTGGACGACCCGCGAATGACAAATAGCACCTTTATTGAAGGATACTCAACGAACGGAGATTTGCATTATGCTCCGTACACCAACGACGCGCGCATCTCACATGCCCACGGCTGGGCAACAGGACCGACAAGTGCATTGACCTTTTATGCTGCGGGTCTTCAGGTCACTAGTGCCGCCGGAAAAACATGGAAAATCTCGCCCATGTTGGGTGGTTTGACCTTTGCTGAGGCAGGGTTTCGGACCCCTCTGGGACTGTTTGAGGTCAATGTGACGGCCCTGGAGAATGGTGGTATGAATGTCACTTTTCATACGCCGGTGTCGACAACAGGGAGTGTCATATTTGCACACGAGACTGATGCTAGAGGAGAAATTAGAGTATCCAAGGTTGTTGGGGGTGCTCACCTTGTCAAGAGAACTGTGATCGCTCCAGGTGGCCCGAGCACAACGGAGATCCATGGCCTTCAAGGTGGAAGTTATGAGGCTAGTCTCAATTTACACTGAGACAAGAGGTTAGGTTATCTTGCCTAAGGAGTCCCGAGGGACAGAAGAAAGATCCATAAGTTTGACCATCTAGCGATATATTTACTCGGGTACTCGTCGTCGTATATATTGAACAGGCGGGCGAGGCGAGGCTAGCAAGGCTGAACGCCAAGCTCTCCCACCTTTGGATTCAGCGACTCACCACTCTGTAAACCAACTTCCATCTCTACATAGCGAGTGGCGCTACTCTCATATAGATGTGGAAGATATTGCGCCAATAAGTTCCTAATACTTCCAAAGGCCGTCCCGTATATTCCCACACCGTGATTCCCTGTCCCATAACCAATCTAACTTTCGGCCTTCACATCATTTCAACCCAGTGGCAACAGCAAGCTTACAGCTTGGCTTGCATCCCGTAACAATAGAGGCTCCCAACTTGGCCCACGCCATCCTCGAACCTCCCATGCCTTCCTTCAACATCCCCTATCTTCCTCCAACATTTCGTGGACCCTTCTAATACCGTTCATGTCGGCCAAGCACCCTGGACTTCAGCACCTTCCCACAGCAGACCTTCAGCTCATAAATGACGGAGTCTACGGACTGATCCGCGGGCCAGAATCGAGTAGAAAGATTCGGTTTGCTGTCGCACGCAGGACAACTTCCTCCGCGGAAGGATATGTGTGCTTTCAGTCTCTCGACTGCGGTTCGGGCAGAGAGTTGGCGGCCACTACCACTTGACCATCGGCGTACCCAGCTGATGTCATGAGAGTTTCGAACCTGGCAGCTGCTTCTCTTCCGAACTGGTTATCGACGAGCTCGTCAGCTGAGCCGCTACAGAGCAAGTAGTGCAGCTTAAGCACAGCACGTTGGCACCTGTCCTGCCGCTCTGGAACTCCTCCGGTTGGACCTCCTGCGATCCGCTGTTCATACTCGCTAATCGTCTAGGCCATGCGGACGATGCACACCGACAACCGAGTGTCGATGGGCACTCCCTCCTGACAATCATCAAAGCAAATGTCCCCTATGATAGCTCGCCATGCAAAGGTCATTGAAATCTTGCGTCCCCACTGTCGGAATCGCTCGAGTTTGGGGTCATGCACCAAGCTGCTGGAATACCCGACCTTGTGGAAGAGGAAGGACATGCTGCTGTAAATTTCCTGTTCTGGTTGCTCGTCGACCTTGGTTCGAGTTTCTGGCACAGTCGAAGGTGGTTGGTGCGCAGAGATCTCTCCCTAATAGAGCCTGAAACTGTCTGACATAAATCTAAGTAAGACGCGTGCTCTTCCATCAGGCAGCGGACTGCACATGATGTTACCGAAATTTGTGTCTCGGCTTTGGATGCCAACACTGAGCGGGAACTGCAGAAGGTTGTTGACTACTTCAAAAATTGCCGGGCAGATTCTCTCCCAGTTGGAACCAATTTTCGAACCTCGACCGGCTTCTCTTTAAATTCCTCCTCACATGCACAGTTCTTTGAGCTCCAACATCGAGTGGCCATCCCCGAGCTCCATGATGGTGGCTCCGAAGTCCATGAAAGCCGCGAGGGGGGCCCGTTTACAGTCATCCAGTGAGCTGACTGGCCGTAGATGTCGCCAAACAGGAACAGCTGTGTCAGCCCGCTGCGGATCTCCTGGGTTCCCTCGGACAGCTTTTGAGAAGGGCTGTATGAATCGGTCATGTCGTGTTCGAATGCGGCCTGGAAACCCCTCCAGATGGACTCTGCGACATCCTCGAGGATCTCCTCTCGGTCGAATTCGCCGAGGCTGTACTCTTGCCGCAGACAGATTGAATGACGCGGATCAAAAGTCTTGACGACAAAAGGGTCATCATAGCGGGGCTCGGCCTCGCGTTGATGACACGCACTCCGCGGGAAACACACAGGCCATCGAGAATCCAACGCCGTTGTCGCCGCCAAGGCTTCCTTCCAATCTGATGTCGAACGGCTGTCTGGTTTCGTCGACAAGGGTGTGCACAGTACCGTCGGCATATTCGTGCGACGCGGCTTTCTGTCCTCGTTGTTTTCGAGATGACGACTTTTTTCCGATTCGATGGTTTGTATTGTTGATCGATGAACGTCATGGTGGTAAGTTGAACTTGTGACTCGTGACTTTGGAGGTATGTGCGACTTGTGATGTAGGATGTGATAGGAAAATCCGTCTAACTTGTCGGCATTAAGCTAGGGCTCGTGAATCCGGTGGTGAATCCGAGTTTAACCATAAAGTTCGAACTGATGTACCTTTTCTGTAGCGATGGTTGTTGTCTTTGTTGTTACGATTAGCCCCAGCGGACTTGAGTCTTTTCGCCGTCGTCGACGGTGTGCCAGAGGATGAGTGAACAAGAGACCGACGACAAAGAACACGTCGGTCCCTTTGAGTACAATCATCCGCCACACACAGCAGTCAATGGAGGACTGTTGGGGCACCCCCTATTTGACTGAGGACCTGGAACCGGATCCCCGGATCTAAACAGAACCATTGGATAGGCATAGACACCGGTATGGATACAGAGAGCATCAAGGGACTTCTTTTACGGTTACTCACTAAACCATTCACCGAGCCATTCGCCAAGTCACTCGTCATTCGTCACCAATTTCACCCGTCACGAAAGCTACCAACGAGAAATTCACTGCCTAAAGTTACAGTTATAGTTACAATTTCTAGTCCGCTCCGCTCATACCGCAAGGCTGAGTCGGAAACGTTCCCTTCTCTTTCCTTATTGTACTATATCTTTTTTTCTGTGGGCACTGTTCTATTTTTGTCGTCGTCTTGCACTCCGTACTATACTATAATATCCTTCAAGTTTTTAAATGGCTCGCCCTCTCCCCGGGGAGGTAGCGCTGGGAAGAACCTCTAAACGCAACATGTATTGTAACAGAGCCCTGCAGAGTTCGGCATGCACGTGCAACAACGCACAGGGGCCTGTCCAGCAGATCGGGAATCGGCAACGCCTTTCCGGTTGCGGCCAGAGCACAAACCAGCGCCCACACCGTACAGGCGGCGGCTAGGTCTGTGGACGCCTAGCACGGCAGCGGCAGCATTGATGGACCGAGGGGGACTGAAGAGACACTCGGGGCAAGGTGGACAGTTTCAAAGTCATAGAATGCTCAATTCAATGTATAGAGAATGGTTCAGACTTGTCTAGCTGTATCTGTACATGTGACCAGACACAGCGCACCCCCGTTGCCTCCACCATAGCACCCACATAGCCACTTCGCCTTGTTACGGTATATATCTTGGTATACAGCTGGCCCGGTATGCGTGAGACGTTGATATGCACGGTGCGGAAAGCAAGAAACTAAGGAAGTGAGCAAGTAAGACGTACCAGGACATGTATACTTATGGATGGCATCATCTTGATCTCGAGCTACTCTCAGTTCCTAGGATCGGAAGAACATGGGGGAAGGAAAGAAAGAAATTTTATGCCTCCGTTCAAATACATCATCATTGCTACCTAGGCACCATGCCTATCATTACCGTCACTCCCGTCATCATCGCCCGTCATCATCGTTATCAACTATGCTCCGTCCCCCAAATTTTTCATGCCCAAAGAGCGAGGTGAAGAATGACAACGGAAGCTGCCCCAAGTGGTTAGTTAGATTCGACTACTCGGAGAACTTATGAGACTGTCTTCGTGAGGGTCGGTCAACGTACGAGGAGAGTCGTAACCGGAGGAAAAGATTAGAATGGTGTTGATTTGCTTGGTCGCCATGTCCCCAGCCACCCTTGCAAAGACGACTTCAACAACACCCCATCTCTTTCTGTTTCATGTCGAGGAGGTTTTGGTACTGTGACAACAACGTCAACTCATGCTTATTTGCGCCAATGACCCTTACCCAAGGTTAGACTCAAAACACTGAAGGCTTACTCAAATATCGGCCAGCAACAGGAGGCCTGGTGGTTCTCCTGCTGCTGGCCCCAATCCTAGCGTGGCAACATCTTGACAGAGCAGCTTCAAGCTGATGGTATGGATTGAGAGATGACCTTGATGATGGTGAGGTAATGAGATAATAAAGCCTCATTTCAGGAGGTTGGGCCTCTTATATATTGTAGCAGACTCCGAGGACGTAGACGACCACGGAATCTCTCGGATGTCGCGCATTCAGCTCTCCGACTGGTTGCCTCATACAAAGCTTGGACGTCACCGAACAATCGGGAAGGTCCGATCTTAACCCTCGCCCGAGGAGACGGAAGGCCGGGACGTCCCTAGTGTCTCTCAGCCTGAAGCGACGATGAACCGGTGAAGCTCGTGGCTCGAAGAGTCGGAACCATCCAGCTACCAATGTGATCAGGCGAAGTGACCTCAAGATCATGCCCTCAAGGCAGTGCGGCCAGAGGATGACGCCTTTGCCGCCATCTGCGCAGAATCGTGGCGCTGCAACTGGCACGCAACCTCGAGAATCTCTGACACGAATGGGTGCCTCCTTGGCCCTGAAGCATTCCATTCTTCTTTGTCATCATGTGAGACTGGCGACATCTGCCCGGACGTTCTTGAACTGGAAACCCAAATAGAAAGTCACCTCCTGAATGCCAAGGAAGCGTGGCATGCTCATCAGCGAAAGGGTGCGGATATCGCAGCTGCTCATCACGGAAACTCGAAGCTCACACCACCCCCAGTTCGTGAAGAATTTGGTTGACTCTATCTCTCTCTCGTCCTCGAAGAGAGAAACGGCGTGATACTGATACGAGGCCTAGCCTGGCCAAGCACCACGGGTCAGGCCGAACGAGGGAGCCAGAAGCGGCGTCTCTGTGGTGATTTTTGGCGATTCGATGAGATGGCTGCAGTGGCAAGTTCGATGCAGGCATCCTGATTCGTGATCACGAGTCTAGTTCCAAAGCAAAATAACTTCCAAGACCGGAAGGGAAACGAATTCCATTTTCTCCACGGTTTCTGCGTCTGCCTGCGAGGCCATGATGGGCCGCGTTCTCGGAAGGAGAGATATTTCGGAACAGGGTGGTGGCCTTTTGACGCCGAGCCTGTGTAGGTTCGATAGGCACGACGATCTCCTCTGATTACTTCCGTCGTCGCAGCATCATGTGCTGTATCCGCACACCACATTGATTGATAGTATTAGCGGTAGTAGACTTGATGCATGATGATGAGTTATACTGTAGTCTTTGCACGGTTCGCGAGGTCGCGTCAAAGTTTCCCGCGTTAGCCACACCATTTGGGCAATACACAGGGCCGCTACGGATCGAGCCTGGCGAGGTATGGAACCCCTTTTCCCGACTTCACCACCATATTGACGACCCGAATGGAAACAAAGAGGGACTGGAAAGAGAGCTGGAGACCGTTTTGCGGGCCATTCCGTTTGGTCTTGTCCTAGCTTAATAGTAAAGTAGATTTTCCATCTTGGCTAGCGGCTGCAATCTTGTTCGAGAGGAGTACATATGGACGTTCACGTAGGGCCTCGTACCCCTATTTCACACCCACGCCCATAACCCTCAGGCGCCTCCATCACCAAAAGCCAATTTGTGATTGTTGTACTACTACGCTAAGATACCGGTGTCAAAGTTGGCTCTGGCTGAACCAGGTGAGCCGTTGGTTAGTGGACCGCTCCAGAAATCGCAGGTCAGAGCAGGGCTGGTCTGGTATACAAACGACGTGCATTGCGAGTTCTTGGAGCAGGCCTCTGCGCATCCTCCGTAACCGCCAGTGAAACCCGGACTCGTCTTGATCAATGTTTGTCCGAAATAGTAGGTGCTGCAGTACTTGGTAAACTTCTCTCCATTGCTGACGAAGAATTGGTCGGATTGCTGAAGGCAGGTTCCGGTTGCAGAGGGAATAGCGACTGCTGTACTCGTGATAGTAGTTGCCGTGGTGGTTGTCGTAGTGACTGTGGGAGAACTAGTCGTGGTGACTAACGCAGAGCTAGTAGGAATGCTTGACGTCGTGCTTGCAGTGGTGGTTAGGCTTGAAGTTAGGCTTGAAGTAGAGCTAGAGGAGGAAGAAGGTCCCGCAGGAGCGCATGGACCACTGACCGCCGTCAAACTGACATTATCAATCGTGAAATCCATTTCTTCCCCATCAGCTAGAGCACTGCAGTCCCAGTTGATGCTCAGTGTCGCGGAAATTGAGTTCGCAAAGATAGGGTCACTCGTGTATGATTGCCATCCTCCAAGTGGACCGCCAAAGTATGTCATGAGTGTGGTGGGCAACGGTGGTTCAAGACCTGATAAATCAGTCAAGAGGGCAGTCAAGACACACCAGCCGAAACTGGAAACTCTAGTAAGGGGTATGTCGTAATCGAATGATAGGACGTAGGTCGTTGAGCCGGTAGAATCCAAAGAGTCGATCTCTTGGGAAAGGGTCGGGAGTGTTGTGCTGTAACCCTTGAAGGCCCTGGAAGCAGTGATGGGTTAGCCTCGATGAGGGCAAGGTGTTGTTGCAGGAAGGCAAACAACGAGTGGACTGGGAAGCAATGTAGCAGATCCAGCGGCTGGTATACCTACACGAACTTGTTGCCGTAGGGAGTGTTATAACCGTCATAGTTGATCAAATTGCTATCGTAGTAGGCTTCGCTACTAATACTCCAACCACCTCCGGCGACGGGCACAGAGCCCAAATTATCCAAGGAACCGTCATTGACTTCTTCGAAGCCACCGTCGGTTATAAAATCCTAATAAATGTCGAACGTTAGTCTGCGACGTCTCCAGTAAGAATTTTTGGATGCCGAGGACCTACTCCAACACAAGTTAAGGTGGGGGAAGATGACGCGCTGGTCGTTGTGACAGGTCTCGACGTGGTTGTTGAAGACGTTGTGATTGATGTTGTGGTTGAAGAGGAGCTGAAGCTCGTAAAGCTTGCAGCAGCGGGAGTAGAGGTAGTTGTGCTCGTCGGGATCCTGGCAGAATCACTAGTCGTTGTGCTAATCAGAGCGATTGCAAAAATTGTCGAGGTACTTATAGAACTAATAGAGCTAGAACTAGTCGAGGTACTAGTACTTGTTGAGACGCTTGTAGAACTTGGAGTGCTGCTGCTTATCTGCTTGTCCAAGGGATCGGTAGAAGTCGTGCTCGTCGAGGTCGGTGCTAAAGATGTAGTGAATGGTGTCGGGGCTGTGCTTTGTGATAACGTGGTGGCCACGCTCGTTGAGGTATATCTTGAATATATGGCAGGCTCGCTTTGAGAGGTACTTGCAATTTGGGACGGCGTCGTGGAAGACAAAGCGGACGTGGAAGTAAGGATCGAAACCATGGGTGTAGTCGAGGTACCGGTTCTCAAGGTGGGAGAGATAGCAGAACTCTGGGGACTAGAAGAGCTTCTTGGATAAGTCCTTGAATACATGGTCGATGTGCCAGGTGACCCGCTCGTCAGAAGAGTGCTCGCATGCGAAGGACCCCAAGAACCGCTTGGAGTGCTGCTTATTTCTGGAGAAACAGTGTTCCAATCAAGCCATGTATACCCGCTGCCTATAAAATCTGGACCGGATGAATGATCATGGATTGTCCATGTAGAACTGTCCTTAGCTGGGTACGGCGGCAAGGAGTACGGGGACACTGGCATTGAGCTTGTGGGGTCGCAAGGACAGACATAATGAGTATTCGTGATGGTCGTCGTGACCACGGTGAAGGAATCGCTGCCCCAATCACCCTGTTTCTGAGCATGACAGATGCCGACAGCAGCAGCAACAGCCGCAGACAAAAACGTAGACTTCATCTCGGATGGATGCTGAATAACAGTCGACAAAAACGAACGGACGGCGCCAAAAAGTCACCGCAAAGGAGTGGACGGTCCAGAAAGACCAAGCAACAAGACCGACCCAGAAACCGAAGTAAAGGCTTGAAAGAGTGCGTATCAACGGACAGATGAAAAGGGTACAAACCGGTTGATATAGACAGTGATCTTCAGTGGAACATATTGGGAGCGGATCGAATAGCATCCCAACAGGTTTCGAGACTATGCCGAGCTCTGGAATTTCAGCACCGCAGGAGACCAGCACAGCGTCCAGTCGTCGTTCGGTGGTGATCCATCGTGAGAGAGGTTCGAGAGCACAGTCTTGAATAGTTGCACGGGTGGCTGGCTGAAGCAGTAGCCTGGCTACCTGAGTTGGATTTTGTGGCTACGTGACCCACGGTCACCACTCTTTTGGCGACAGTAGTTGAGATCCGAGCTTGCCGGGAACATAGCGGCCCACGTGAAAAGGGGCCGCTCGTGGGCTGTTGACCGTCTAGATCAAGCCTCATTGAAAGAAAACCCCTTGACTTCGCACGGCTAACCTTGTTGGGAGGGCAAAACAAAGGTCGATGCAGGTTTCGGTGATTGATAAATCCACCTCAGGATGAGTCCGTGGTATTTGAATCTTGGCTGTGTGCTCGTAGCGAATGCTAGTATTTTTGTCAAGAGTCTGCTTGCTTCAATCTGCGATAGAGAGAGGAGACGATGAGAAAAATCTAAAGTCGCAGCGCAGTATCAGAGACGTCCTTCTCAAAGATACGTTTACCTAGTCTACTCCAGTAATATTCCAAGGGGCGGTTCCTTTTTTTGCACTCGCTGGGTTTCCCCACAATTACGCGTAGTGGACTCCTTCCGTATAATCGACAGAGATGAGGGCCAACATGGGTTGGCATGGCATATCGGCGGACCATGGCGTTGAGGGAGCGGACCACGGTTTGCCGTACATAACTCGGTATGGATCGTAGCACACCTCGTCGTAACCGTGTGAACCCTCCAGCAATAGTAGATACATAAACTCGAGGCTTCGCGGTGTCGTCAAGTCATTTTGAAGTCCAAACGAGTCATCGCGCTCCCAAGGTAGTGGTGTAGTGTTTATAACTTTGCTGCTTGAGTTTTCTTGACATATGCCATGACTGCATCGACCCCAGCCTGTGCGACTTCGGTATCCTGTGCCGGCGTGCCCGTGCTGCAACCGATCGCACCCACCACTTCTCCATCCACAACAATAGGGATGCCTCCAGCCACATACATGAATCTGCCATTATTGCTACTATTCAACCCGAACGCCGGACCCCCTGGCCACACAGCCTCCTTGTAGACCGACGTTGGAGCTCGATGGCCTGCCGCGGTGAATGCCTTGTTCATGGCGATGTCGACCGAGGTGAGTTTGGCGCCGGGCATCCGCTCAAAGTGGAGAAGATAGAGCGAGGCATCCATGATGGCGATGTTCATTGGGACGCCTATGGCTTTGGCCTTTTCGATACAGGCCGCCGAGGCCAGCTTGGCAGCATGGTGCGTGAGATGTGCGGGTCGATGGATGGCAGCCATGACGGTGAGGGAGATGAAGGCTGACTCGGAGGTAAAGGCTTTTGTGGTTCTGATGTAACAGATGGGAGGAGGCCGGACGAAAGGGCGACAGTGTCAAGAGAGGATCGCAGTGAGGCACCTAGGTCAGCTAGAGGAGGACGAAGGCTGCTGGATGTGTAGATAGCAGCGGCTTACAAGCAAACGGGCTCAGATCGTTCCCAAAGACATGCAGGTTTGGTGGCTCGATTCATGTCGAGAGTCGAATGAACGAGCTCTGAAGCTCGAGGGTGTGAATGATGGATCGAGGTGGATGAGAGCATGTTGGCGGAGAAGTCGGACAACGGCGACGTCAGCGACCGGAATGCTCGCCGCAGTGCCCGATCCTATTACCGAGCAAGCTAGGCACTATTATCTTGATTCTTTTGACATAGCCTTGTACTGCCTTGTGTCAACTGCTCCGGTTTTTTGCGGGGAAACAGGGGGTCTATTGCAGGGTGATCTTCTTATAAGCAAAGCCATCCTCATGCGAGACATCACCATCACCACAGCAAAGTGATAAAAGCCTTGATGGAGTCACTATGTACTCTCAGCTCGCATTGGACCACCGACAAAGCGCGGCACTGCCATATGCTCAACGAGGCTGATGCAGCGGGCGAGACCGCTGGTACAGCATGTCGAAGCACTTCTCGCTTTCCTTGTCCAGATACTCAATGCCCTGGCGTGGTACTGCCCCTTGGTCCTTGTAGTTTGGTCCTATCTCGAACGTCACTCCGGACGTCGGGTCTGGCCCTAGGAGCTTCTCGAACACCCCGATGACCCCCTCGATTGGTGTCAACAATCCCTCCTTCTCCATCTGGTCGTAAAAGGCGGCTGCTGAGATGTTGGTTCGAACCACGTTCGGGCAGGCCGCGTTCATCGTGATTTTCTCCTCTGGCAAGTACTTTCCGTAGCTCCTTACCAGGCCCACAACGGCGTGCTTCGCTGCAGTATATACCGGGAGCGTGGGACAGGTGTAGAATCCGCAAACGCTCGCCACACATCCGACTTGTGCGTGGTCAGCTCACAGTGCCTCCCCACAGTAATCAGCTAACTCACTCTTGCCCCTGAAACCATCCTTTCCGGGTTGTTGTTTCCTGAATTGCTGCACAGCTAGTGCGACGGTGTATAGGACACCCGTCAGATCAATATCCAGGACGCTCAAGTCAGGCTGCTCGAATCCGCTTAGGGAAGGGTCATTCGGAATCCAAGCACGTTCACCAATGCCTGCAATGGGGTAGACGTAATCGATCCGACCAAAGTCTGACACAGCTTGACTAAAAGCCTTTGCTTGGGAATTCCAGTTGGCGACATCCACTTGAGCACACTTTGCCACTTGAGAATCCTGGTTCAATTCATTGACAAGTTTTTGAGCGCCTTCTAGGTCTCTGTCGACGATGAACACTTTAATGCTAGAGACGCGTTAGAGATTCCCCACGCGGTATCTCGCCCTTGACGAGGAACCGACATACTTATGTTTCACCAGCATCTGGGCCACCCCTCGACCAATCCCGCTCGCTCCGCCCGTCACTTTTTGTTATAGTGTTAGCCTGTATAGATATTGTGCGAGTTCGAAACAGGTGTCTTCTAAACAACAAATGGTGTTCAAGTAGAGGGGAGACTCACCATATGCAAAGCCTTGAGACATTTTCCCTGTGAGAAGACAGTCCTTGTGGGATGTTCAATGGCTACCTGGGTAGTTTTAATGTGAAAGCACCTTATTTCAATCAAAACCACCTTGAATGATGTCTCTTTAATGCTCGACGCTTCAGCAACCAACCTCTCAATAAAGTAGAATTGCCCATCGAGCAACCTCGGAACTAACCCCCAGTGAGGGGGTGAGCCGTTTGTCCAGCCCTTCATTCATAAAGTCTCGTATCGGGCTTCGCCAGGTCCATATGACACGAGAGGGTCTTCTCGTCCAACTGGATCACGGGTGACGCGGGGGTGCTCCTCGCGTCTAGAGAGTAATGGAGCTTGTGTGCGGAGAAGTTCTGTCGATTGACGCAAATACGGGCCTCGGTATTGACGTAGGTGCGAATGCTACGTAGCATGATCAGCCTCGATCCATTTTGTCCCTGGAAGGAGGGCCCCGACGGAAGCCAATTAATAGTAGCCAGAATCAATATTGTCATTGAAGGATTCAAAAGGTTGTTTTCCCATGATGGAATTCCTCCTGTCGAGAGCCGAATCACCCTCTCCCACAGCCTCGCGGTCTGACATACCGAGATTTTGTGTACTTTCTAAAACACCCTGCCTGTAGTTCCTGTTGCTATCGATGTGGCACTCGGAAAGGTGATTCACAATCGAAGGTCCAAAGACACCGGAACCGCCAGGACCATAGATAACAAGCAAAAGATTCTGGGTCGGATTTTTATTCTTGGGTGACTCCTTTGGCAAACAGATACCACAGTGGTCACAGCATTTCAGCCTTGCTCGATCAACTCACCTCTTGCACAGTACAGAAAGCATTTGGTTGGAGGTGGTACTTTCTCAAGGGGTCCCCAAGGGGATGTGTATGTCCAATTGTCCTGCATGTCCTGGATGTGCATCTTTGCAGGTTGCGATTCCCCGTAACCCTCCGATACGGCGGAACAGGTCACATCTTTGCGGAGGCTGACCTCGTTGCCCTCGTTGCTTTGCCATCGGATTCCATCCTCGTGTTTGCTTTTGCTAGCCAGACGATTTCTACGTCACCCTTCCTCTTCACCGCGCACAGAGCACACTTGGACTCTGGCCTGTGTTCTTTCTCTGTTCAAAATACCGCTACAAACTCTGCAAGCGCAGTCTAAAGAACTTACGGGCAATCTGGTCAATGAAAAAAAGAGAATGAGGACGAACAGCCATTCGTAAAGGCCGGTCCACACATCTTTTGTCTTTTCCCTTCCTTCCTGCGATCTTTTACTCGCGCGGAATTGGCGGATTGGACGGAGGACCGCTATTAAGAACAGCCGAACTCAGAGAGAGCCAGCAATCCTCGGATTTGCTCTGGGGTTTTCAAACTGCCTTCATATACACACAGACTATTCTATCGAAGGTGCAATGTCGTCCATGGCCTCCTCCATCTTCTACCCCTTCCTCTCCCCTTCCCTCTCCGCCCTCCTTTTTCACCTCCCTTCATCTACCCCCCTGGACACACTCAGCCGCACGTCTCCATCGCGCCTCCAACGGACCGCCCTGCCCAATATCGGCCTCATCGATCTTGTCTCTGCCACCGATTTCTCAACCTTATACGACCCGCTATATATCCACAGTTTTCCCCGCCTCGCCGAGCGGGAAAGGTCAGATCTGATCGTTGACCGTCTCGCAGCGCAAGCGAAGGGAGATAGGAAAGGCCTGGCGCCCTACCGCATCGTGGGCATCAGGGACCACCAAGGTGAGGCTATTGGGGCGGCTCAATTTAGTGTCTTGCCGGTTCCTCCTCGAAAAGGGAGGAACAGCACGACCGGCAGCGCCGACTGTGGCGACGATGACGGACTACCCGAAGGGTCGAAATACGCCGTCCCCTATCTGCAATACATCTATGTCCGTCGCCAAAACCGCCGCCAAGACATGTCCGAAGTCCTGCACACGATGGTTCTCGCCGTCGCCGCCGCGGACGCCGCGCTGATGGACATGGAGGACGCAATCTCTTCTTCAGGCGTGGATCCACTCCTGCGAGCCGTGCCCTTCACGCTCTTTGAAACCGAACCGCCCGACCACGGCGACGACCACGCAAGCCGCGCATACGCGCTAGAGCGTTCCAAAATCCATACCTCCACGGGCGGTATGGCGCTTGTTCTGCGTCGCCGCCGACCGAGGCCTTCTTCCCAGGACTCTACTCGTCCCAAACAGCAAGAACAATCAGCAACAGCTGAAGGAGAAGACGACGAGATCCTCAGCGCGCACGTCCAGCCCGGCCTGGAACCCTCCGACCCGCCCCTGACCCTGGTCTGGATCCTTCGGCCTGCCCCGACGGCCACCCTCGGTCAGGACTATGATCTTACCAGCCTCGGGAAGGCCCTCGTCGCGGCATACTACCAGAGTCTGAGGGACGAGGGGTTTCCCGAGAAGAATATCCGCCTCGCGGAGAGGATCGTCCAAGAGAGATGCAGGGGCAGTGTCTTCCAGCTGATGCCGTTGGGGGACGTGAGGGACTTTCGTCCGGACAAGGGGAATCTGGATATATGAGGTCATTGAGATTGTGGATTAGAAAAACTGCACGTAGACTATCAATGAAAGCTTGCATTCTCTGAAATTCTCCCGCTCTGGATGCGGCGAACGAGACTCATCGTCTTCAGTGACCAAAAACAACCCATAAACGGAGCAAGAGACTATCTAGTAAGGAGTGACAGTGTGTACTAGTGTACTAAATAACAGACTAACAATTCATCTTTGAGATGGGGAAAAGGCTTCACTAAAACACAACGCCGACATATTTCAGTCCGGCGGTCCAGAGCCACCCGTCAACCAACTAGGAGAGCCACAACCTCCACAGATCCTCTGTACGGTGGATTCAATTATCCCCCCGCTCAGTCTCTGGGTGGTGATTTCCTCCTCGATGGTCGTCTGCTGTAGAGATCCCCACCATTGTAGGGGATTCCCAGCGACGTCAGAATGTTGACGGCAGCAGTTTCGCCGGTGGCAAAAGCGCCATGCACACATCCGTTTCCAGTCCGCGTACAGTGCTCTCCGGCAAACTGCAGCTTGCTTTCCTTGTTGTTCTCTACTGCAGTGAACCAAATTTCCGGGTCATCTCCGGTTTTGTCAGCAGTGTATGTACCGAAGCCAGCAAAGGGATCCTGCGTCCAGTGTGTCGTTTCCAGATTCACGACCGGAGGAAGCTTCTTGTAAGGCTCGGTGCGGAAAAGCTTAAAGAGTGGTTCGAAAAAGGCGTAGATTTCTGCGTCTGAAGTCATGGCTTCAATTCGCTGAGTAAGGGGCTCAACAATCTGGACAGACAGCTCCTTGGTACCGCTCATGATCCAATTGTTGCTCGTAACAGTCATGTAAGAGAAGATGGAATTCTCATCGAAATTGTCGGTAGTGGGCTCAGGATAGTAGATGAACTGGTCGTTGTCTTTGGGCCAGAACACTGACTCGAACTCGACAAAGATCTTGCCAAGAGCTCCATAGCCGAGTTTTTCAATACCCAGAGACAGTTGTCCTGGGAGGGCCGGGCTGAAGTCCACAAGCTTGTGTTTCAAAACACCGAGTGGAAGGGTGCAAACAACGGCATCTGCAACGAAAGCGGTGGGTTTCCCATCAAGAGTGGCGGTATGAACCACACACGGGTTGGACCCGTCATCATCATTCCAATCAATCTTTGTGACTTTGTGTCCGAGTCGGATGATTCCCGGATCACGCAGGTTCGAGGCTGCCCAGTCGATAATGGTATCATATCCTCCTTTCATGTAGAGGTTCCGTTCGGTTGCGAAGTAGGCAAGATGTTTAGAAGATGCTTGCTCGAGACTGGTGCCGATCCAAGCTTCAACCTCGCGAGCAGCTTGAGGTGCCCAGAGGCGTTCATCCTCGCTAACCAAGGGATGGCTGCTCAGCCATTCCCTGATGAAGGTCAAGGCAGGTTTATCCTCAGCATCGGGGTTTTCTTCGTAGTACCAGGCACAGAAGTCGGCGAATTCATCGGCGACCTTTTTGGCTTTGAATTGAGAGCCGAGGCGACCATCGCGGGTGTAGTACAGGGGGGTGCCGTCGTCATAATAGTGCTCGATATTGAGCTGGCCGATAAGACGGACGAGTTTGTTGTTGGCGGTTTCATGCATCCAGGCGGCACCTAGCAACAGTGTGAGTAGAAGTGGACGACAGGGGGAAACAACCCCACAATGGTCGTGGCCGAACAATGAGCGCTTTTAACGACATCATGTCAAACGCCTACGGCGATTGTCAGTATTGCCTTTTGGTAATATTTACCAATGTCTCTTGGAGCGTGGCCAGCTTTCCTACTCGTGTAAATGCGTCCGCCGATCCGATCAGGACGGGCTTCGAGGACCACGACTTGGACACCATGGGTTCGCAAGACAGAGGCAGCACGAAGACCGGCGATGCCGGCACCGACTACGATCACTTTCTTCGAGGTAGGTGTTCCATCACTTGCAGATGTTCCTCGTTTCTCTTGACTCACAACATCCTGAACAGCTTGTTCAGGTCCTTTCGGGTTTAGACCATCCTCCAACTCTTTGGTAGCGGCAGGGGAAGGGAGAAGCCGGTGAGCGAGTTGCAGGATGGTCGAAGGACTACTGGATTCCTTGGGTTTATGGGCGGTAATCTGAGCGATGTGGAAATGTTGAGCCATTCTGAGTTGGCAAGTCGACATTCAGGTACCTAACAGGTTAGCGACACTGTCGACCGGGGGGTGTTCTGGACGACGAGGCTGCGTCGAGCCGATACGAAGTGAGCAGGTGATGGTGAAGCGAAGGGGGGAAAAGGAAGAAAGGAAGGGAGGATGAAAGGCGATATGATGATGTAGGAGAGAGGCAAGCGAGGGATGCAGGAGGTGGGAGGGATGAGGATGTTGAAATTGGGGCCACATTGCTAGAGGCTTTTAGGGAATTACAGCCGCGTCATGGGGAGAACCCGCCAATGAGGTGCAAAATTTAGGGGACGAAGGCCGGGGGGTTCACTCGGCTAAAGATCCAGGGCTAGTGGTGGCCCCGGTGGTGACATTGGTGAGGACTGCTTATCGGAGAAGCGCACGAGGTAAAGGGCCTCGCCGAAAGTGCACTCCGTCCTAAGCTCCGCAAGCCTATTACAGGCCCCGGGGCGTCACTAAAATCAAGATTTATCAAGATTTGCTCAAGCTCTATTGCACCGACCCTAACCATCCACCCTTCCGTTCCGTTTGCTTATTCTTGGTTTACCTGTGACCTACCCTTGGCTACCGCAGGAGTTAGGTTGAAGTGAGCAACTCCTGTCCGCTCCTGCTAGAGCGATCTCTATCCCCCAGACGGCCTCCTCCCTCGAGACCCATGTCTTTTTTCTGGGATACGCGTAATTCGATTTCTTTCCGTCTTGCCACTGATAAGCTTTGCCAGCCCGCCAACTGGCCCTCCCGCCTCTTTGCGGGGATTGTGGCCTCGTTCTTGTGTGGACGAGGCGAACCTTTGCCTGCGTCTGACGAAGCTGGAGCATGGCGTCTCTTAGGGCACACACCATCACGATAAGGTATCTGATCTTTTTGCTTGTCGCTGTAACGATATGGCGACGCCTCTCGCTTAGTTCATAAATGCCTTCTTCCCCAGCTAATCCCCGGGTGCTCTTCCCCTTCGTAGTGTTTTCTGCGCTTCAAGATTCACCATCTTTGTCCACGAGTGCGGCCGTATGGAGTACACTGAGGAACTTCCGGGCACGCGCCGCATTTTTGACGCTGAAGGAAAGCCACTCTATCCAGGCGATGTTGGGCTGAAGAGACACGGTGACATTGTTCTCGTTCCTCAGCCGACCGACTCGCCCAATGACCCTCTTCATTGGTCCTTGACCCGGAAAATATGGCACAGCTTCCTCGTTTGCTTTGTCACAGCTTTGACGGCAGCCACTTCCAACGATGCTGGGGCCGCTCAATACAATGAGAATCTCGAATTGGGCATCAGCTATGGCTCGTTCAATACCGGCGCCGGTGTTTTGTTCTGCGGAATCGGCTACTGGACATTGCTTTCTTCTCCAGCCGTTTACTTGTATGGTCGCCGCATCTTGTACTTGATTGGCATGACGTTGGGCTTCATTGGAGGTATTTGGTTCGCCAGAGGGCAGACGACCAGTGATGCCGTCTGGAATCAACTTTTTGTCGGCGCATCCGAATCCGTGGCCGAAGCGACAGTTCAGCTGTCGTTGATGGATCTGTGGTTTCAACATCAGCGCGGCTCAGTGCTCGGTGTTTACGTGTTGGCGACCAGTATTGGGACATACTTGGGTCCATTGATCGCGAGCTACATCGCAGACAGTAGCCTGGATTGGAGATGGATTGGATACTTCGGGGCCATCATCTCTGGGGGAACGTTTTTCGTGCTTCTCTTCGGCCTGGAGGAGACGTCATTTCATCGGGATCGATATTTGGTCAATGACGGAGACAGATATTTGATCGACGGCGTCAACAGAGCTGGCAGTGATAATTCCGCAGGCTTGGAGGCGGATCGACCAGACAAAGAAAAGGTTGCTGGTCAACCTGAACCGCAATCCGTGTCCCCTCGCCGTGCATCTGTTGCAGAGGAGCGACTTGCCGCCGAAGACCGGCCCAAATCATATTGGCGGCGCATTGCGATCATCACTCCCGCGCCAAATCTGCGCGGGTTTGGCTTCAAGCAGTACTTACAGCGTCTCTTTCACACCCTGCGAATCTTTACCTTCCCGGCCGTCCTATACTCCGGGTTGCAGTGGGGAGCTCAAGACGCCTGGCTTACCTTTTATCTGACAGTCGAGGAGGACAATTGGTATGGTCCACCGTGGAATTACAGCGATGCTGCTGATGGAGTGAGTGTTCTGATGTGTTAGTCAGAGTATCACGCCTTGCTAACTTCCCGCAGCTGATGAACGTGCCTTGCCTGATTGGCGCCGTCATTGGAGCGACCTATGGTGGATGGCTCAGCGATAAGTTCATGATATGGATGGCTAAGAGAAACGGGGGGGTGAGCGAAGCCGAACACCGACTATGGCTCATGTACCCATGTGCTGCCATTTTCCCTACTGGTCTCTGGCTGTTTGGAATTGGGACCAGCTACGGATGGTCCTGGCCAGCTCCGTATGTTGGCCTTGGTTTCATCGGCTTTGGATGGGGCTGTGCAGGCGACTTGAGCATGGCGTACCTGATGGATGCTTATCCGGACATGGTCTTGGAAGGCATGGTGGGCGTGGCAACCATCAATAACTCGATTGCGCTCGTCTTCACCTTCACAGCTTCCGACTGGATCGATGCGAGCGGTGTTCGAAACACATTTATTGCCATTGGGGTCTTGGCGTTTGTTTTCATCATGACGACTGTGCCGATGATGATTTGGGGAAAGAAGTCCCGCCGCTGGACAAGGAACCGATACCGGCGGTTCTTGGAGATTCGTGATGGTTTCTCGACCTAGCGGTGGAAAAGCGTTCAGCGATCTAAGGGATGCTCGGGCATGCAATGTTAGTTTAGCATTCATCCTGTTACATCTTGACGAGCAGTTCTATAAGTCATATGTATGGCGACATATTAAATACCTAGCAGTTTCAAAGCATGAAGCGACGTCAACTATATTGAGATGAATAAATTGTCGATGATGTTGTCCACCCCCCAATCAATTAGGCAGAACAAGGCAGAACAAGGCTGAACAAGGCTGCACCTTTATCGTTTGTTGCTTCATGGCCCGCCGCATTCTCTACTGCCAAGCATACCTCCACCTGTCCCACATATCATCTTTCGACCCGAGAATGCTTCAAAGATGCGACTGCTTCTTTTTGGATGAGCATTCAACCGAAACTGTGATTCGGCCTTGCCCACCTCATCGTCGTCTCAAAATCGGATCGGCAGCATGCATTCTTCACTCCCGCTGCGAGCTGGCCTGTAAGTGCCTTCCCCATGCTTGACGCTCCCGGTGCTCTCCCAGCATCTTTTGCTTGCCCAATGCGTCCATCCTCATGCTCCCGGATCAACAATTCCTCCCCTCGCTCCTCTTCTTCTACTTCTTCTCTGCGAAGGTACTTACGAATCTAGCCTTAAACGATCCTCCTACTACAACTCCGACTACCGTAGCGGGGCTGCCCTGCTTCGAGCCCGCCGTCCGTACCTGGTCAAGAACACCCTCACAGGCATAGCGATCTTCGGCTTCGCTATTGGAGTTTGTACGTTCCATTGTCGCATTCTCTTTGGATGTTTCCCTTGAAGCCCAAGGCTTCTGGATCGTGCAATATATCCCGGTGACGACCGGGGCGGAGCTTTGAGTCGTGTTCAGAGAACATTTTGACTGACGCTGTTCTGTAACGAACAGTCGCATTTACACTCAGAGCCGTCGGCCAAGAGACCTTTGACGACGTGATCGTTCCGTCGGACACGGACACCGTTGCGCCAAACTCCTCCCCAGCTGAGACCGCACGGTTACAGCAGATTCCCAATCAGTCGCCGAAGACACCAACCGCGTAGGCGAACTGGGTGCCCTCATTATCAAACTCCCCCCATCGCGAACGAGACGCCACCTATGCTCATAAAGCAAGGTCCCAGCAGGCGAGGAACGGCCTCGTGACAATAGCAATCGGGAGAGGAGGGGGAAGGGCAGTTTCCAGGCCCAGCTGCGACTGTGTATAGCTACGAGGCGTTGAACAAGCGGTACCCGGGGGTTGCTATTGAACAAGACGAACTATTAGACTTCTCTACTTCGAGATCACACATCCGTGTTTGACATGTGACCTGACATGCTATGTTGGATGGACTCCGGAGTTGGACTGTATGCGCCCCGCGAAAAGGATCTCCTTGTAGGAAGGGAAGAATTTATCGGCGGCAGAGAGTTTGATACGCCATGTGAGGCTACTAGAGTGTATGTGGACTTGGCTCAGGCCGAGTCGAGTCGGGTCGAGGAGATTTGGACGTGACTGATCAGGAGAGAGTCAATGGGTCCTTTGGCGCATACAGGTCTATACGGACGGACGATCTAAGGAGTCAAGCGCCTGCTGGCTGTTAAAAATTCGCAGCTCACTACATGTCATCGCAATGCCTTGGGATATGGACCAATAAAAAATTCAGTGATAAAAATATCCATGGCTTAAAGATTATCCAAAAGCAAAACTTCAGATCAGAGTCAAAAGCCAAGAAGGATCTTGGCCAGCATCTATCTTGCTGCTCTTTCGTCTTTGACTTCATAACTCGCCAGGCTGTGCATTGTCACTTTCCCGTCATCATTATGAACATCAGCGAACGCTAAATCTCCCGGTGCCCGCCGTGATAGCAGGAGCCCGTGGCCCCGACGTATTGAGATATGCCCGGGACGTTAAAGGTGAAGAAGCCATATCCCGTCCACTACCGATTACATCCTTTTCCCTCCCCTGCTGACGGTGCGCTTCGGAGTTGTCGAGTTGAGCAGGTTGCCGCCGCATGTCTAGGGGACTTGCCGAGTGCATGCGATAATTCTGTAAACCGGACGACCCCCCGCCAGCTTGCGCCTCAGTCTTTGTCGCGCTACTCTGGCCGTCATGAGGTGTGTGGACCGCGGAAGATGCCTGTGCGGAAACAGAAGGGTCAACGATGGTAGATGCTGACCCTCCTGGAGCCTGAAGCCCGTCGGCCATGTTGCGTTGTTGATTTGCTGGTGTTAGGAATTCGCTCATTGGAGAGCGATTGGAATTTTGTCGGCTGAGCCGATGGATGGGATGTTGGGGGTTAGCCCACGGTGTCTGTTCAAGAAACTGTTCTTCTGCTTGGGGTCCTGATATCTGCATTTGAGCGGCTGGGCGATGAGCGGGTCTGCCAGGTCGAATCTGACTCTGCGAGATCTGCAATATGTGAGTCTCCTGAAGCTGTGAAAGGGTGCCACATATACGTACTCCCATCTTTTGGATGTCATCCTCAATGTCCTTCTGCTTTGACGCAGCCAACTCTGGCGCAGCAGGAAATCCCACATATTTGGCGACACCAGCCAGAATCGAAACCTCCTTGTTGTAGGCTGTTTGTTGCAAGATCTGCTGCGACCTTCGTTCTGGGAATGGTATGCTGAAACTGGGTATTGAGGAGTCGGCCTTGAATCTGTCTCGTTGAATCCGATAGAAATGCTCGCTGAGGCGTTCAAGATGTCTCTCGCGAATATCTCTGACGGTCTGGAAGTATTGACTGTGAATTTGACTCCGTTCAGCAACGGCCTTGTTCTTGAGGGCTCCGACCTTGTAGACCAGTAGCTTTTGCTCGATCTCATACTTCTCATCACGGTATTTCTGCACCACTTCCACCTGGCGTATTAATTCCGGGTGAGCTGGTTTGGGCTCTGACAGTAACTGCAGCTCGTGGTTTATGGCTGCAATTCTCTCATCATAGAGACGGTCTCTCAATGTCGCAAAATGCCTCTCGAGCGCAGTCAGGGCTTCCATGGCTGCCAGTCGCTTCGCTTGCTCTTCTTCACTCTTGATCGCGGCCTCGAGATCGTTGTCATCGACAACCTCTGAATCTTCCGCAGGTCCAACATCCTCCTCGTCTTCGTGTTGTAATTCGTGGATGACCGGGTCTTTTGCTTTTCTGCGAGGCCTGCTTTTGGTTTTGTCTTTCGAGTCTTCACTACTGTCAACTTTTTCGACCTCTTTCTGCTCCTCTTCAGGCTCTACCACATCCTCTTCGTCGTGTTCCGGCACCCCTACTTCGGGTTCAATGGTATTTTCCCGTAAATGGGGACTCTCATTTCCCTCGCCGTCGGTATCTGGTTCAGACTTCTCATCCTCGGTCTCGACAGATCCCGTCCGTCTTCTCTGTGATCTAGGAGCCTCTTCAATATCAGATTCGGTCTCTTCTCTTTTGCGCTTATTGGGGGAAGCTGCTGGAGCCACCACTCCGCCTTCGTGGCCTTCTTCATCGGCGTCTTGTCCGTCGCTTATGCCTTCCTCATGGTCCGAGTCGTGGTGGGAGGAAATTGGGGACGAAACAGGGCTTTCGGTGAAACTCTCTATCTCCGGTCGCATGTCGATGTCTTGTCTCTGGGATAGTTTGCTTGGGCTAATCTCAGGGGGGTTTCTCCTGGCTAGATTTTCCGGAGTGGCCTGGAGGCGCTCGGTCTCAGCTTCAGAATCCACATCGGCTGGGGCGGCAGCTTCGATATCTTCTTCCTCGCCATCTTCGAGATCATCGTCCAGCTCGCTAAGGCTGCTGGAACGGTCGTCGTCGGAGAGGGGTCCGTCTTTGGCGGCGTAGGCTACAGCGGTATTGGAGAGAGCGAGGAGGGAGTCCGCCGCTGAGTTCATGGTTGTTGCAACAAGACTTCTTTTGGATGTAGATCGTTCCGAGGGGCTAAGAGGTACTCAGCGTAGGTAGATGAGGTTTTCGGGAGCTGGGAAAATCGCGGATTGATGTCGCCTAAGGTGGCATCGGTGGTTAGCACGAATGGAAGAGTTCCGCAAAAATAAGAATGCGAAAATTGGATACCCTGGTGAGTCAGTCGACATACGATATAATAGTGAATGAGTCGCAGTCACAATAGCATGGTGGTTGTCATCCCCTCTCTTGCGCTTGGTTCTGGCGGTAGCATGGGCGCAACGGCAACAGGGCCTGAGGATTTTGTCGTTCGGTAGCGATATTGGTAAATCTCACTCTTTTATAGGAGAAGAGGATTGCGAGAGAGCCGTCAAACCTGTATGACTTCGACGAACAAGCGAATACTCGAGGCGGATCAAGGTGGGATGGTGTGAGTGTCTGCCAGAGGAGAATTACCCGCGGGGCAGGGGTACTGTTGACTATAGGGTAAACCCCGAAAGGAGAGCTGAAGTGCGAGGCGAATACAGAGGAGGACTATCAATATGAAACCAAAAGAGTTGAGTTAGCGAAGACAGTGCAAATGGAAGTTGCCAAAGTCGCAGGTTACAAAATGCAGGAGCAGCAGGCGTGTTGGCGTCGTCGGTGGAGAAACGCAGTCAAAGCGCAGCCCCCAAAAAGGCACATACAAGTAATTACAGCAGTGAGCACAAAGAGTCCCCGATCCCTTGAATCATGGGTCGCTCGACATTGGGTGGGCGATGTCATAGGCACGAATCAGGGCTCCAGAGCGCTCCAGGCTAGCGCCGGAATTAAGATTCCTGCACCTCTTCTTATCCCCATTTTGGTTCCTGCCTTTCGAAATTTTTGTGGCTTCGATTCGACTGCAACACTCTGCGTCAATCTGAAATCACTTGGGTGAGAGACTGACTTGGTTGCGGCGTTCACAATATGCAAAAGTCGAAGAAGGCCAAGACTACAGCGGATGCTGCGCCTTCAGCCACAACTGCAAGCAAGTTAACTGCCAGAGAAGAAACGGTCGATCCTGTGCTTGCTTCTCTGTTTGCCTCGAGCGTAAGACCGCTGATCAATCGTCTCGATTTGAGGCTGACAGACTCGTTTTAGTCTGGACCAATCAAGGTACCGCCGAGGACTGGGACCACAGCAAAACCTGCTCCTTTGCATGTACAACCTAATCCTGAAGACGAAACATCCTCGTCTGGCTCTAGTTCTTCCGCAGAGAGTGACAGTGAGAATGACGCGGAAGACTCAGACGAATCCTCGGAAGATGAGGCACCGCCGCCCAAACAAGAAGCCAAAGATACTGTCGAGAGGCCTCGCAAACGCAAACGGGCTGTCGATGAGGACGATCTGGAGCAGGCATATTTCAAGCGACTAGAGTTAGAAGAGGATAGAGAAAACCGGAAGAAACATCCGGGGCGCCAAATTGACAATGCCGAAGGAAGCTCGAATGAAGACAACACATCCTCCTCCGACTCTAATGATAGTTCACTCAGCGAGCCCTCGGAGGTCGAAGTTCCCCCAAAACATGAGATTTTTGACCAAAAGCTGAAGGACCAGGACAAACTGAAGAGAACCGTCTTCCTGGGAAATGTATCCACGCAAGCTATCAAAACTAAGACAGCAAAGAGAGCATTGACCAGACACCTACGCTCCGTATTGAAGACACCGCTTCATGGAAAGAGACCAGGAAAACTCGAATCAGTCCGATTCCGCTCTACTGCATATGCATCGAAGCAGGGCCCCAAGAAAGCCACATACGCCAAAAAGGAGCTCATGGACGCAACCACAGTCAGCACAAATGCCTATGCAGTCTTCACCACGGATATTGCTGCTGAGCGAGTGGCAGAGGAACTCAATGGCACTATTGTTCTTGATCGGCATTTAAGAGTCGATTATCTTGCGAAACCCTCGGTGATTGACCACAAACGTTGTGTCTTCATCGGGAACTTGAGTTTTGTTAACGAAGAGGCACCTGCAGGAAGTGCAGATGACGGGGAAGGTCTTGAAAAGAAACGACGGCCGACTGCGAAACAGCCCGCAGATGCTGAAGAAGGTCTGTGGCGAACGTTCAGCAAAGTTGGGAAGGTAGAAAGCGTACGTGTGGTACGAGACCAAGAGACTCGAGTTGGTAAAGGATTCGCATACGTTCAATTCAAGGACGAGAACAGCGTGGAGGC